AGGAGGCTTGCTTGTGGCCTTGCTCGCCCCAGGACATAGTGAAAGCTAAGAGCAGTCTCTTGGGCTGCTTTCTAATTATCAAGGGTGCGTGGTGGGAAGGGTTGCCTGTTCTCTGCCTCCTGTATCTGGGGACTAGGGCCTCCTCAGCAGGGTTCACACCACAGCCTGGGGGAGTGTGTAGGCAGAGGCTCTGGACCACGTTCACCTGGCTTCCGGCTTAGGTTGCTGCTGACCGAGCATCTGTCTGGTCGTGGCCTATCTTTGTGCCTTGGAGAGAACATAACCAACCGGTGACCATGTTGTGTACGGCGGCTGCCTTCTTGCTGGCTGACTGCGAGGCAGGTGGGCTGCCAGAGGTTCCATGACACAGGCCTCCAGGGCCGGCATCCACTGCAGCCTCGACTAACATGCATTATTTTACACCTGCTTTTTCTCACCTCTCTGCTTCCCAAGTGCTTGTAAGCCAAGTTCATGAATTAGGGCTGGTTTCGGAGACAGTAGCAGACAGCTTGCAAGGCCCCCTGTGACACTTGGTGAGTGGGCAGCAGGGAGGCAGGGCTGCTGGCGGCACAGGGCGGGCCCGTAGGAGCGCTCTGGGGAAGCACTGGGCATCAGAGGCTTGGGTTCTTGGCCCAGCCTGCGTGACTTTGATCAGGTCATTGGGTTTCTCGGGACACAGTGTCCTGATCTCTAGATGCACAAGGTGGAGCCAGATGCCCTCTAGGCCTTTCCCAGCCCCTAGGTTCTGAGCTCGAGCCCACAGGTCTCTTCATGCTTTACGTGCACTTTGGCCCGTTAAGACCCTGATGAGTTCAGGAGAGGCTCTCTGCGGAAGGGACTCTGGAGTCCAGGACTTTGCCCGGGGCAGCCTGATGCTTCCTGTCCCAGGTGACTTGGAGTCGGGGTTCCCCCAGTGAGTGAGCCAGGGGTCTGCTCTCAGTCTTCGTGAAACACAGACCCCCCTGGTGGTGGAAAGTTTCAGATCCGCTTGTCATGAGTCATCCCATCAGTCTCACCCCAGGCAGCACATCACGCAACTCGAAACTGCCCTTTGTGCCATTTTTTCTTGTTTTCAAGAAACCTGGTTGACTTGAAGATGGGTCTTGGGGGCAGGGTGCTCTTCCCCGTGTAGCCCTAAGAGAGCAGCTCTGGCTGAACCTCAGGAGGCATTATCTTTGTGAGCCTCCAATGAGTCAGCTCCGGCCCGGTTGGTGAACCAGGCCCATTCTCTTCCTCCTGTACTTCCTGGCGGGGCTGATGTCACCGCTGTGTGAGCCCCATGGCCTTTTATGGACAAGAATCGCAGCTCTTCTCACAGAGGAAGTGAGCGATAAGGCCCCTAGCCTAAGTCTGGTCCTGGGGTGCAACACCCGCGGTCACCCCTCCCCACATCCTAAGCTGCCTGGAACACATGAATTGGAGATGTGCTTCAGCTCCAGAAGGCCTTGGGGCACTGGGCTTTAAAATAAAATCAGGACAGGGAATGGCCTCATCACAAATGTGTAACTTAAAACCTTTCTTGCCCCAAGGACAGTGCCCCGTGGGCCTGGGCAGCGGAGGGCTCGGCTGTTATGGACAGTTTCTGAGCACCTGTGCTGTGCTGCCCCAGGGGCCAGGCATCACGAGGGGGAATGCAGAGTGAGGGTTGGAACCAGGGCCCTGGAGGGCATGGCCAGTGGCTTTCTCCTTCATGTCACTACTCCAGACACCAGGACCAGGGGTTGTCAAAGTATGCTCCAAGGAACGCTGTTTCCATTTTGCAGGCAGCTGGGGGTTTTATTCCCCATTCTTCATGTTGGAAATTCGGGAAGATTTTATCTGAGGAGAAAGGCTGCTGTTTCTTTTAAAAGCCTGGAAAACCACTACCGAGTCATAGTCTTGTCTCTATCTCAACCCCCACTTGTCGCAGGGGCGGCCAGGCTCTGAAGTCAGGTGCAGAGCCTTATCCTGGCAGGGAGCCTGTTTCCCAGGACAGGGTTATCTTTTTTGGGGGGGGAGTACATTCCCCTGGTTTGGGCCACAGGGTTCCTGTCTGTCTGTCTGTCTGTCTCCTCTGTGTGGAGGAAGGAAGGGCGTTTTCAAATTAGCCGTTAGTCCATATGGGCCCAAATAAAGACTTGAGCCAAAACAACTGAGTGGGCTGGACTCTCGGGTATCCCCATCCCATGAGATGATCTCTTGTGGGAAGCAAGGGATAGAATGAGTATTAAGGAGGGTCCTCCCTGGAATGCACCAGGGGTCTGGCAGAGTAAACTAAGTCAGGTGGAGAGCCAACTAGCTGCTGAGAATTCTAACCATTGATTGGCCCAGAAGAGGAGGCTTACAGCAGAGACACTGCTGCCTCATCTACCTCCCAGGATTATTGCAAGTCCATGCGATAGCGGAGCCAAAACTGCTGTAAGACTTGGAAAGACCTTTCCGGATGTAAGGGCCAGGGTGTCAGTCACTGAAGGCAGGTGGACTTGGGGACCAGAGTTGAGGAGATAAAGTAGGTCTCCCATCAGTTTTCCTCTGCACAAGCATTTGCCCAAATGCGTGTCCTGGCAAGGCGAATTGAGGCTTCTTTAAAGTGAAAAGTGAAAGTTTGGAGTCTTCCCTTCTCGGCTGTGTTGGCAGTGCTAGCGTGGCTTCAGGAATTGGAGGTGAAAGGTCAGGGGAGAGGAAGAGCTGGGGTGGGGACGTGCGTGCGTGATCTGGAATTGGAATGTGTGCAGGAATCTGCGTGCATGTGGCCCTGTGTGCGCGCGAATCTCTTACACATGTACTTGTGGCGCACACGTGTCCACGTAGAGCTTGTCCATGTCCCTGCGTGTGCATGCGCACCTATGTGTGTGTACCCACATGTGGGCGGGTGGGGGGGCTGCTCTGCTTCCTGTTGTTCAGCATCTGACTCCTCACACAATTAGAGGAATTCCAGCCATCCCAGGGACCTGGCCTAGGCAGTTCTGGGAAAACGGTTCCTTCTGGGAGGGATGGGAATGCTTCCTTTTATGGTAGTGTCGGCCGCTGCTTGTCTCAGGCCGTTGCTTGTCTCACGACTTGCCGGCACGTGCAGGTACGGTCTTGCCCGCCTGTGAGCAGTGACTAAACATGCCTGCCGCTGGGCCGGCCCAGGGAGATGCAGTGGGGGAGCTGGGGCCCCAGATCACAACCGTGTTTGTCCCAGATTCTTCTCGGTCGCTACTCTGTGCGTAGGGGGCAGGTGATGGAAACTGTGTGTCTCCCCCAGCCTTTAGCCCCAGATTCCTTCCCTCTGCCTTTCCGCCTATCTTACGGAGACTGCCTCAGCCCTGGCCACAGGCTTGAAGGATTCTGTTTTGTGAGAAAGTTGAGACGGAGGCAGCAAGGTTGCCCCTGTGGGGCCTGCCCTGAGCATTCCACAGTGGAGAGCAGGATGGGTGATGGGAGGTTGTGTGAAGATAAAAGGCTGAGTTATTTCTCCGTACCCCAACCCTGTTATTTCTTGGTGGGGATGGGGGAGGCTAGACAGGAGCTGGGTGGGCAGCTGCTGTTTGTCAGGTTTGAGGTTTAGTTTTCCTCCTTTCTGTCCCGACTCCCTTTTTCCTCCCGAGTCACTCGCAGGCCAGAGAAGCGATGGTGGTAAGAGTCCAGGCCTGTGTGCTGTTAGATCAGGCATGCTGGAGGCTCACTTGCCAAGAAGCAGACCTAGCTGTGTGTCTGCAAATCCGTCTCCTGAGGCCATGCACACAGGAAGCTATGAGTCACCTTCCCTAGGCCTCCTTGCAGGGCCCTGGTTGGCCAAGTGGGGGCCAGTGAGTGTCCTTCCAGATGGCCATGGGTTTCTATGCAGCACCTGTGCTAACAACTATAAGTGCTAATAGCTATAAGTGCTAACAGCTATAAGTGCTCTGTGGCCCTGACAGTGCACCCCCACCCCCTCAGGTGGCTTCCGGATGGGGAAGTAAACAGGCAGCAGCCCCTTGTGGAGTACCTTCTATTTACAGGGCACCATGCGGTTATTTCTATACTTAAAATTCTCCCAGGGAGTTGGGAGCATATATTGACTTTATGGATAAGGAAACTGAGACTAGAGAATGCAACCTCTCCAAAGCTTAGATATTAGTAAGTAGTCTGGTCCTGGATTCAGGCAGACTTGATTTCAAGCAGGCTGAGGTCTTACATGGGGTGGGATGAAAAGAGGAAAAGTGAGTTTGTATTTTCAGCCATTGCTTAAAACTGCACACCCGGCACTGACACAGGTCAGGTCGAAGATCTTAAAGCATTGCTGTCAAACTTAGCTTCAAAGTGGGGGTGTTACTATTCCCCCTGCGCCCGAGGGGAGCATCGAGTGGCTTATATCCTTACTCGCTCAGTGGGTCACAGAGCTGGGAGCAGTCGCAGGAAGTTCCTGACAGTCAGGCCTGGAGACCCACTTGTTACAAATCTGCTGACATCATTGAGCATCTTCCATGTGTCAGACACCACACTGGTGCTTTCGTGCATGTTATTTGCATGTACACCGTTGTCCCCATCCCAGGAGGAGGCTGGGGCTCTGAGAGGTTCTGCATGTGATCAGGGTGGCATCTGGCCCCAGGGCTGTCCCACTGCAAACCAGCCCTACCCACCACACCCCTTGCCCGGCCTCTGAACCAGTGCTCCTCATTCAGATGGGGACAATATTGAAAACGCCTGCCACAGGCCTGAACCCCCAGTTATAAACACACAGGGGACGCCCCACCTGGGCGCTCAGAGAAGGAGGCTCCCAGGAGCTTTTCATAGATGGACTTTCTCCGAAGTGAGAGAGACAGGCTATTTCTGGTCTCACGGGGGCAGGGAGGGCAGTGAGCGTGGGCAGTCGGAGCTCCTGGAGAATGAGTGACTGCCACCTAGGGATGTCCCTCCCCTCAGTGAGGCATAGGGTCAGCACCTATCAGCCGTGGAGGGGCCCCTGCAGAGGCAGCATTCAAGGCTGCCTGTCCTGGGAATGGGCTGCTCTTCAGGGGGAGCCGGAAGTTAACTCGATGTCTTCTTTGTTTCAGACCGAGAGGACCAGTCCATATTGTGCACGTAAGTGTTTCTGCCCGGGTGACGGGGCCATGTGTCACCAGACCTGCTCTTACCCTTGGGACTCCTACCAAAACCTAGGCTGATGGGTAATCTGTTCCCAGCTCAAGCTCTGCCTCTCCCCCAAGGGACGGGCTGCTCAGTGTTCCCACAGCACGGATGAGCTTTATTTCATGGGTAAAGATCTAGCTGGGCCGCCTTCCTCAGAGGACCTGGCGAGCTGGCTGGCAACCGTTGGCCCCTCTGGCACGCATTCCTCCTGGCTCTGAGCACTGGCTTCCTTTACCTGGTTGAAGTGGACACTGGGTGTCTCGCCCTCATCCTTTGCACTTGACAAGGAGATGAATAAACCCCACTGCGGCGGGAGTTAGTGGTACAGAACATTCCTTCAAGCGCAGTTTCGGAGGAACATGTATGAGTGCCTTTGACCCCTGAGTCAACAGCTGCCTCAGACTGATTCCGAAGACATTTGGATGCAAAGGCTGCCAAGTGACCAGGGCAGGCAGTGGGCCATGGGAAATGGCCTGCGCGAGGATCCCAGAACCAGCATTATTTTGCCTGTCCCCTCCTCTGCCGCTAGGTGTTAGGTCCCGCACTGGCACCCAACAGAATGGTAGGCAGTGGAGCATGCAGTGGGGAAGGGACAGACTTCAAGAATTCACCGCCTCTCCTCACTCCCTTGGCTCTCTTGGCAGGGGTGAGTCTGGAGCTGGCAAGACAGAGAACACCAAGAAAGTCATTCAGTATCTGGCTCACGTGGCCTCCTCGCATAAGAGCAAGAAGGACCAGGTGAGTGGGCCTCCCTCCCCAGGAGGAAGATCATTCATGCTTCATGGCTCGGCTTAGATGAGAGTGTTGGGGAAGGAAGCAGAGGCTGCACCTGCTTCATCGACGCTGCAGGAGGCTGTCTTGGGAGTGAGTCCACTGGTAGCCAGCCTACTTCTTCCTTGGCCTCCCAACTTTCTGAGTTGCTATGGAAACTGGACCCCCTCCCCCTGGGGGTTTGGCAGCTAATTGCTGTGTGGCTTTCACCTCTGAGGTTGGAAGAGAGATTCTGAAATTTGGTTCTCAAGCTGATGGAGACTTGCAGGATGGAGGGCAGGCCTGCATTTGACTCCCTGCTGCTTTCCCTGCTGTTGAAATGCCTCTGGGTGGACAGCCCCCAGCGAAGAGAGAAGGGGCAATCGGAAAGTCTTCTCACCTCCCTTTTTTCCCCCTCTTCCTCTTGGTGGATTATGGTCGAACTCAGCAGTGTCCTCGCTAGGTGAGCTGCACGTTTACTGCACGTTCTGCACCAGGAATGCGTGTTCTCATCATCGTGTGCCCTTGAATCATGTATTTTTTCCTAAGCAGCTTTTCACTCCACACATTGTCACTCTCTTTGGCTAGAATGATTCTCAGAGGCTCGGCTCACTGACTGTCTGGGGAGGGGGAGCTGGGTGTGACACACAGTGACCTCCTGTGCACTCTGAAATGACAGCTCCGCCAGAATGGTTATGGGCCTCATCACCTAGCTGCTCCAGTCCTGACCCGAACTTCCCACGTGCCTGGTAGCATAACGCCCGTGCAGAACCCTGATCGAGGCACAGGGGGGCGGGAATCTGTGGTCCAGGAGCCTCACTCGCTCAGTCCAGACTAGATGCAGATGGTGGCTCCTTCACCTGCCGCCTCTGTGGGGCAGAAGCAGTGCCTCGAAGGCCCACCTTGGACCTGCCAGAGCTGGGGGATCGGTCTCAGCATGCCTGTGTGGTGCTCTCTCTCTTCCTCACAAGCACACACTCTTCCCTGTCAAATCTGAGTGTCCGTGGTGTCCCCTCAGGCTGCGGGGGTACTGCGCCGTCTGGGTGGCTCCCCCTTACAGGGGTGCTGTGTGCAGCGCATATAAGTAAGTAGGGGTGTGTGTCCCTCTGCATGCAGACCTGGGTGTGTCCTGCATAATGTCCTAATGAGTACATTTTTCTGGAATGGACCCAAAAGTAACTTTTCATGTGCCAAACTTCTCAAGACATTCTGGATCTTTTTCCATGGGGCGTCAGGAGTTATATTTAGAAACCAATAAAGTTTCTTTTGCTCCCTCTCTCCACCCCCCATTTTCCATTCTTTATAGGAGGCCTATTTTTAAAACAGGGCTGTGAGGTTAGGAGTTCTCTAGCTGTGGTTTTCCATCTCTGAATTTGCTGTAAAATCCATTTCCCAACTATGCATTGAATGCCTAGTATGTGCCTGGCTCTGTAGAGGGTGACCTTGGAGTCCCTGGTAGCGAGCAGGAATGTAGACCCCTCTGCATGACTTCCGGGACTCCAGCTGCGGAGGGGAAGGCAGCCCCCAGCACCGAGGTAACGTGGCCTGTGGAGGAGGGTGTGATAAGTGGAGGCAAACTTGTCCCATCCTCTTCCCCAGGCTTCGGTGTGTAATGGGCACATGTTCCTGACTCCACGTCCAACCATAGTGATTGAATAGGTTGCCTCTGGTTTCTGATTGCTGCTCAGGTCCTGGGTTGTAAAGGCCATTGACCAGTTGAGTTGATTTCCTTGCCTGAAGCTGTGCGGCGATTTTCCACAGCTGGGCCCCGAGACACTCTTGAACTTGGTTTACCACTCGAGGCCTGCCGTGGCATGCTCTGCCTGGGCTCTCTCCCCCTTGCAGTGAGGGACTCAGTTGCTCATCCCAAGACCACCCACCGGGACGTCCCAGGCCTCATCTTGCTGTGGGAAGGCTGGGCTTTGGCCGGGCGCAGGCTGGCAAGATAGAGCTTGAGAAAAAGACGTCCAAGGTGGACTTCTGACATCCAAGTCTGACCTTTGCCCACCTACACCCCCCTCCCCCCGTATTTTAGAACCCCACCCAGTGAAGCCCTTCAGAAGCCAGACGGGTAATTCCAAACTATGAGCACACACTGCCTCCAGTACCTCCTAACTTCATTTCCCACAAATTTCATTGAAAAATGTCTCCTCTGTGCTCAGTTAGGTATCAAGAGGAAACCCCCTTTAGGTTAGTCATCCCACTGTCAGCAGAGACCTGGCCTCTGGAATCCCTAATGCTCCTGAGTTTGGTCTGGCTGTCCTATGTTCCGTTTCAATAGCCTACGGGCCTGAGACAGAGGCTTCGATTTACCTCCAAGCTGAGGCAGAGCAGACTCCCGGCGGGGCCCTGCTCCCATCTGTCTGCGGAAAAGGGAGTGGCTCGGCCAGTCTGTCCGCCTGGCCTGTGTTTAGTGGGTGGGGGAGCACTCATCCAGTCCCTGCCCATGGGCTGCCTTGCTGACTTTCTAGGCCTTCCCAAGCCTGCACTCCAGTGTGCTGTGACGGTTGGTGCCAGGCACACATGGCAGCCTGCTGTGAGTGTTTGACCCCTGCCCTTTGACCTGGTGCCCTGGCCCTCCTTCGCTTAGCTGTATGGTGTGAGGATAGAAGACTCCCTCAGGCCTGGGCCCCTTCCAGTCTCTGGAGGGCTTCCTGCGTCTTCAGCGCTCCGTCTGCGGCAGGTGTTCCTGGAACGCCGGTTCATGACTCTCCGGGGAGCTGCTGCTCCTACCAGTCTTTGCTCACCGGCAGCCTTTATTCCCGTAAATCCCTGGCTTGGCTCCAGCCTTGTTAGTAAATCCAGAACCCCACCTGGCCCGTGCACCATCTTCTTTCCCCCTGGAGGGTACCCAGGCACTAAGGTGAACGAGATCCGTACTTTCCTCAGCCAGTGTCAGCTATTATCTGGTCTGCTGGGAGGACAGTGGCTGCTTCCACAGCTGATCTGACCTGACAGGAAGACCCCCGAAGGGCGGGGAAATGGCAGTGACTGATGGCTGTTGGTGGTAGACTCAAACCCCAATACCTGTTTTGCTAGTTGATAGCCTAGGCTAAGATGGTATAGCCTCAGCTATGCCATTTTTCTTCCCTCAACCTCAGTTTTCTCTTCTGTAAAATGGGGCTACTCTGTTTTGCCCCATTGTATCATGGGAACCCAGGGACAAGAAGGCATAAGGGCACTTTTTGTCAACCACAAAGCATCATGTGACCACAAGTAGAGTTCATTGGTGTTAATAAACAGTTCAGAACCCTTGTCAATTCCATGTTCAGACACCCACCTGATGTGCTAGGAGCAGGTTTGGGGGTGGTAGGGCAGGGACCAGCAAGGAAATTCAGTGTGTATTAAAGCATGGATGAGATGAATTGTGTCTGGCCTATGAAATAGGAAATATGTGGCCTGATGGGTGAGGATTGAGGTAAGTAGGCAGAGGGTATCTGGGATGGAGATTGTCCAGAGAAGGAAGGGTGCCTGTCTCTCTTTTTGGGTCATGTGCTGCCCTCTCATGCATCCTCCGGGGTTGATCCGGGTCTTTGTACCAGGTTCCTGGAGCTGGGGGAGCTGCTGCTTCCCCTTTCTAGGCCCGCTGATCGGTCAGCCCAGGGAACTAAGTTCAAACCAGTCAAGGCATCTGGCGTTCAGGTGGGAAGATTGCTCTTGAGTGACGTGGAGACCAGGCCGAGGCTGGCATGGAGGGCCACTGGCACCCCCCTTCCAAGCTGCAGACATGGCTCTGCCCCGTCCCCTCTGCCTGGCCTTCACCACCCCTCTGGGTCCTTCTTTAGGGTGAGCTGGAGCGGCAACTGCTGCAGGCCAACCCCATCCTGGAGGCCTTCGGGAACGCCAAGACCGTGAAGAACGACAACTCCTCGCGATTTGTGAGTGGCGGCCAGCTGTGTCCTGGCTCGTGGGGCAGGGGGTACTACACAGAGTTTGGCACATGTCACCTCCCAACTGAGTGCCCTCACGTAGGAGTGAGGAAGATTCCGGTTTGGTGCTCGCCGGGCAGCTGCGTGGAGCAGGCCAGGTCGTACTCCAGTCAGTGTGCACCTCCATACACAGCTTCTTCAGACTGGGGAGTGGGGAGTCACTGCTGGCCCCTGATTGTCCCATTGTAGCCAGTTAGAGTCTGGGCCAAACCAGGCAGTGGGGAGGAACTGGCACCCCTGAACCGCATCCTGGTTCCATGCTTGAAGCAGGGGGCACGGAGTCCTGAGCGCCCATGCTGGGTGCGGTGCCGGACCTGGCTGCCAGGCACGCTGGTTTCCTCCCTCCAGGCTCTCCATCGGGAGGATGGGGCCTCTGACTTCTTCATTGTCTTTCCTTAGGGCAAATTCATCCGCATCAACTTTGATGTCAATGGCTACATCGTGGGAGCCAATATCGAGACTTGTATCCTTATGGTTACTGTAATAAGAGTGCTGGGTCTAGCGGGGAGGGAAGTGACCTTACTGGAGAGGAAGCTGCTCCCTGGGCCTGTTAGGACACCTCCTCCGTGGCATCAGGAAGAGAACCAGGAGCGGCTCACTGAAAGCCCAACTCCGAGCTGGGTTTTTCTTCGCGGGAGGATGCAGTTCAGCCTCGCCTGGGACGGGCCTATCCAAGATCACCCAGTGTGGTGCCGGGGCAGGAGTTGGGGTGAAGGCTGATTTATTTCTCCCTACACCAGCATGACAGCCTCCTCTGGGGGAGCCTTCTGTCTCCAAGGATTGTGGGAAGGGGACTCTTGAAACAGATAAGCTTCCTGAGTGTGAGCGCCCCTCTTTAGATAAGCTACACCCCTTGAAGGGCAGAGCCAAGAGAATTTGCATTTTATTTATTTATTTATTTATTTAAATATATATATTATTGATTTTATTTTATTTTTATTATTTTTATTTTTTTAAATATATTTTTATTGATTTCACACAGAGAGGAATTGAGAGGGACAGAGAGTTAGAAACGTCGATGAGAGAGAAACACCGACCAGCTGCCTCTTGCACACCACCCACTGGGGATGTGCCTGCAACCAAGGTACATGCCCTTGACCGGAATCGAACCTGGGACCTTTCAGTCCGCAGGCCGACGCTCTATCCACTGAGCCAAACCGGTCCCGGCATATTATTGATTTTAGAGAGGAAGGGAAAGAGAGAGAGAAACATCAGTGATGAGAGAAAATCATTGATTGGCTGCTTCTTGCACGCCCCCTACTGGGGATCGAGCCTGCAACCCAGGCATGTGCCCTTGGCCGGAATCGAACCTGGGACCTTTCAGTCCGCAGGCCAAGCCAGGCCAAGCCAGCTAGGGCGAGAGTTTGCATTATATTTGACTACTTTGTGCCGTTCTCTGCACCTGGTGAAGCGCACTGGCTTTTGGTGGGAATAGAGGGAAGTTGCACAATTCCTCAACGCTTGCAAAGATCTCTTGGAGAAATCTCGTGCAATCCGCCAGGCCAAGGATGAACGGACCTTCCACATCTTCTACTATCTCCTGTCCGGGGCCGGAGAGCATCTGAAGAGTGAGTCACGGCCTCTGCCAACATGGGGGCCGCCGGACACTGGGGCGCCTGCGCGTCGGGGCTGCACTCCTGTTGGGAAATAAAATTCCGGCTGAGGTTTGGGGAGGAGAAGCCAGATGAGCTCTGTTTTCCGGGCCATTCTGACAGCATGGCCTCCGTTTCTGGCCATGCCAGAGAAAAGCCAGGGCGGATTGTGGGTGCAGCAGCTGTGAGTCATGGGCCTCGTGGGCTCCACGCGAGTCAGTCTCCCACGCTGAGGAAAGTTAGCATCCGGGCTACTCTGCAACTCCTAGGGGCACTACCCTGCCTCCCAGACCTGATGTTGCAGCTCTGATAGAGCCCTGGTTTCAGCACGTCCCTGACTGCCCTGCCTCCACCCCTCACAGCTGACCTCCTGTTGGAGCCATACAACAAGTACCGCTTCCTGTCCAATGGGCACGTCACCATCCCCGGTCAGCAGGACAAGGACTTGTTCCAGGAGACCATGGAGGCCATGAGGATTATGAGCATCCCCGAAGACGAGCAAATCGGTAAGGCTGGCCCTCCTGGGGTGAGGAGGGAAGGCCAGGCTGGTCATCACTCTCTGTGGCATCAGAGCAGCTGATGGGCCTGGGGAGAGCTTCCTGTTGGCTCTGGCTCTTGGGGAGCCCTGGAGAAGCCGAAGGGAGGAAGCCTTGAGTGTGTGGGAGATGGTACCTCAGAGTTGAGTTTCAGGGTTATTCCCTGTGGAACCACAGGCATTTACACAGAGGGGAACACAGTACAGGTGCTTAACTGCCCAGGGACTGCCCAGGGACTATGTCTGTTCTTGCAGTCCTTGTCCTGCCTTGTCTCAGGGAGTGTGGGAGGGGCAGGGGCTGGGTCTTTGCGCTGGTGAGGCCTAGAACGAACAGCGGCGTGGAACCTGCCTGCGTCTTCTCGTTTTTCTGGGTGGCAAGATGAAGTAGCCTTGAGGCTTTATTTAGGAAGTTGGGGAGAGTGCACCCGTTCCCTAGCGTTAAGGTTGGAGCCACCTTTGCTCAGCCATAGATAATGTGTAATTGTATGGGCCTGGCTGTGTTCCAATAAAACTTTATTTATTAAAACAGACAGTGACATAGTCCTTGGACTAGAGGCATATCCTTTGTTGGTCTGGGTTTAGAAGTGTTGGGAAGCGTAACAACTCGTGTCTAAGTACAGGGTTGCTCAAGCTGAGGTCTTCAGAGGCCACGGAGACAGCCGCACTGGCGGGGAGGCAGTGAGCCCTCCAGGTGCTGAGCCCCCCATGTGGACTAGGCCATGGCCCAGTCAGGGCTTATTCCAGCCCCTGCTCGGTTCTGAGCTGCCTTTGCTTCCATCCCAGGTTTGCTGCGGGTCATCTCGGGAGTCCTTCAGCTCGGCAACATCGCCTTCAAGAAGGAGCGTAACACCGACCAGGCATCCATGCCCGACAACACAGGTAACCGAGGTCCTCCCACTGAAGTGCGGGGCAGGTGCCTGGGCTCCGGGCAGCTCAGGAGAGAGCCTTGTGGGAATTCTACATGTCACACTTTTTAATTTCTGTGTGCTACTGGCCGGCTGGCACTCTGCACTTTTTTGTGAAACACCTTCTTCATGGATGTAGCATTAGTGAGGCAGAAAGCCATGATCGTGTGGACCAGGGTTTCCCTCGTTCATCCCTGAGATCAAACCAGGTGTCCCAGTAAGACAGAGATTTCGGCTGCCACTGCAGCTTAATGCACGCTTTTCTGTGCACACATTAGGGCCCCTTGACACTGTTGTCACCGCTATTCCTGTGGGTCATGCACATGACGCCATTTAAGTCTTCAGCCTTAATGTGCCCTGCTTCGGGGCTTTAGAAAAACATTTGACATGTGGGTACAGGGGTTGAAAGACATTTCTGTGGGCCAGTGCTGTTCTGTCCCCTCTCATCGGGGCCTGGTGGGCCGCCTCCTCTCGGTCCTGTTTGTGGGTAAGACCTGCTTGCACACCTGGCAGATGAGGCTGAGCGTGTGCAGAGGGACCAATGCTGGGCCCAGGTTAGGACTCGTTCCTCCCCGCTGTGCCCGCGGGTAGAAGGGGAAGGCTCCCGAGGCAGCTGTCCTGGTGGTGCTGGCTCAGTTTCCGCCACAGCTTTCTTCTCACTAGAGGCTGGGCAGAGGGACTTGTGCTCGAGTTTAATCAAAACTTCTTTTCTCCTCCCCTCCTTCTCTTTGAAAAATACTAGCTGCCCAAAAAGTGTCCCACCTCTTGGGTATCAATGTGACTGATTTCACCAGAGGAATCCTCACCCCTCGCATCAAGGTGGGACGGGATTACGTCCAGAAGGCGCAGACTAAGGAACAGGTATGCATGTCCGCGGGCAGCGGGGTTGGGCCGCTGCCTCAGCCAGGGTCCTGGCAGGGGCCAGTTTGAGGGCTGCTCTGGGCCATCCAGTGTTAGGCATTGTCGCATGGGTCCCCTCATTCAGTCCTCACATCAGCTCTGAAGACAAGGTCAGGTTTACTCCATTAAGAACACGAGCCCTAGCCAGTTTGGCTCAGTGGATAGAGCCCTGGCCTGCAGACTGAAAGGTCCCGGGTTCAATTCCGGTCAAAGGCACATGCCCAGGTACAGGCTCTCCCCAATAGGGAGTGTACAGGAGGCAGCCAATCAATGACTCTCATTACTGATTTCTATCCCTCTCCCTTCCTTTCGGAGTCAATTTACATATATATATATATATATATATATATATATATATATATATATACATATATATATTTAGAAGAATATCAGGAAGCTGACTCTGAGAAGTTCATAACATTCCCCAGGCCACTTGCCTCTGCATGAAGCCAACACTTAGACTGATTGGTCAGCGAGGACAGAGGCCTGCCCGCTCTGGTCTAAAGCGAGAACTTGATGTTTCTGGTGCCAGGGTGGCGGCGGCCTCCACCATCCCTGAGGTCCGTGCCAAGCGGCTGTCTCTCCACCACCTGCTGCCTTGCTGCCTGTGGTGAGAGATGGGCAGGCCTTCCCTCTGCTGCGCCTCCCGGCTGTGCCCGCCTCCCGGGAGCTGAGGTCTTTCCAGCCAGGACCGCTCCTCCCCTCTGTTGGCGGGTTCTAGTCTCTGTCGTGGCGATAGGCGTTTGTAAGGTGCTACTCTCATCTCTCAGAAATATTTCCCTTTCCCAGAGTGCCGTGCTCCAGTCCTCACGCTGGTGGCCGACAGCCTGCGGGTGATTCTGTGCAGAGAGAGCCAAGGACATTGTTTTCGAAAGGCGGCCTGCATAATCATTACCAACTGTTCCATTTCCCTAGTAGTTAGGACCTTTGTTTTTTCATTACGAAAATGCTTCACAAACACTTAAGATTGGGGAAATACAGAAAAGTCTAGAGAAGGAAATAATTTGCCCTTGTTCCTGCCCATTGACAGTCATTGGGCAGCTTGTTATTTCCTGTAAGTCCTTCTTTTTATTCCAAATTTAGTTGTCACCCTGGCTTTTTATTAGGGACTTTTGAACATTTGCCGGTAAAGTAGGGAGGACAGCACATCACACAGGCAGCTTCATGGGTGACTAACTCATGGCCAGTCTTGGCTCACCGTTACTCTTATCTGCGCCCCCACTCCGCACCCCCCACATTATTTGGAACAAATCTCAGATGGCTTGCCATTTCTTGTGGGTATTTCACTATGTCCCCATTTATTTTAAAAGGTCTTTGCAGATGTCTTTCTAAGTTACTGTGTCCGAATTGTTGGGTAGTCAGGTTGTTTCAACTCTTGGTCGTTGTGAATAACATTGTGGTGGACATGTCTGTGTGCATGAAGCCTTTTCTCCTTTTTAGGGCTGCTTCCCTGGGGGAGAGCCCAGCTGGTGAACTTCCTGGGGCAGAGGGTTCAGGTTTAAGGGCTCCTGGTGTCTGACGCTCTGTCCCCTGGTGCTCCTCCCCCCAGGCTGACTTTGCCATTGAGGCCTTGGCCAAGGCCACCTATGAGCGCATGTTCCGCTGGCTGGTGCTGCGCATCAACAAGGCCCTGGACAAGACCAAGCGGCAGGGCGCCTCGTTCATCGGAATCCTGGACATTGCCGGCTTCGAGATCTTCGATGTAAGCCTCTCCCTGCTGCCCCCATGTCCCCTCGCCACCTCCTGGGCCTCTGGCTCCTCCTCCTTGTCTGTGAATCCTTTCCGCTGGTTCCACAGCAACCGAAGTTGGCCGTCTCCTTCCTAGCATTGGGCATGTTTTAAGCCGAAACAGGCATGCTCTTTGCCAACCAGAAATGCTGGAGAGCCCTAGCCGGTTTGGCTCAGTGGATAGAGCATTGGCCCGTGGACTGAAGAGTCCCAGGTTCGATTCTGGTCAAGGGCATGCATCTCGGTTGCAGGCTGAATCCCTGGCCCTGGTCAGGGTGTGTGAGGGAGGCAGCCAATCCATGTGTCTCTCTCATTTGGATGTTTCTCTTTCTGCTCTTCCCCTCCCTCCCTCTCTCTAAAAATCAGTGGGAAAATATCCTCGGGTGTAGATTAACAACAACAAAAGAAATGCTGCAGAGAATGGGACTTTTAGCTGGTATCCCGGGGGGCTTCATGGGCAGGTCTTTCTGTGGATTTATTCTCCTAGCAGATATTTATTGAACTGTGGGACAAGACATTGCCCTGCCCACAAAGACTTTGAGCCCTCATAGGAAAAAGCTGGTAGTTACAGTAAACCAGAGGTTCTTAATCCGGGGCCCGCGGTAGATTCCAGAGGAACCAGGCCCTTGGGTGGGGTGAACATTACCTCTATTTTTCACCAGCCTCTCTCTGAAATGACACATTTTTTCCATTGTGAACTGAGCAAACTGCACAGACCACAGCTGCCTGGGAGTGGGTTTTCCTATGTTGCGGTTGTGACCGAGATGCTGTAAAATTGTGTATGTTCTTTTCTACTTCAAACCTTTAAGAGTTACCAGGCCCTTGTGCTTGTTAGTAAAGAAGCATCATGTAGTACTGTGTCTCAGTATTCGGATAATTTATGTTTTATCATAACTTATTTCTCTCATCATTTATCTATTTGTATGTGTTTTAAAATATTATTCTGAGAAGGGCTTGACTAAGCTGCTAGAGAGGTCCTCGGGCCTCAGAAAATGGAGAACCTTCCTGAATCCCCCCTGGTCCACACCTTCCCAAGGGGCGGTGGGCATGCTGCGTGATGGGTGTGGCCCCACGGTGGACGGCACCCTGACGTTGCTCTGCCTCCTTGCAGCTGAACTCCTTCGAGCAGCTGTGCATCAACTACACCAACGAGAAGCTGCAGCAGCTGTTCAACCACACCATGTTCATCCTGGAGCAGGAGGAGTACCAGCGCGAGGGCATCGAGTGGAATTTCATCGACTTCGGGCTCGACCTGCAGCCCTGCATCGACCTCATCGAGAAGCCAGTAAGAGCCGTCCCTGCTCGGATCTCAGACCTGGCCTGGCCTCGCTCCTTCCCTCTGGGGACCCTGGTCTCGGCTCCCACCCATGCTGGTTGTGGGTGTCTAGGCCCTCTACCGTCCGAGCCACGTGGAGGCATAAGCTCTGGGCTTAGATCTGGTGCCTGGCAGCCCGGGGCAGCTGCCGGCCAGGTGTGGACGGGGCTGGTGCCTGGGTTTCCTGTCTTCAGCCCCAGAAGACCACCCAGTATCTGCTCGAGGGGGGAGCTCAACAAGACTTTCTTTGTCCTAAAGAAAGAGGCAGCTTTTATGTAGCAAGTCCTGGCCCCAGGTGCTTTCGCTGTGTGGGGTTGTGTGGACCCCGGGTGCCGAGGGCTGATTTTGGCCTACGCTGATGATCTGTCCTCTCTCAGGCTGACCTGGCCCCGGCTCCTGTCCCCCAGCACTGACTGTCGGTGGGTGCGGGAGCCAGAAAGCCCTTCCCCTTTGCCGCCAGCTTCCCCGGAGAGCTCCCCCCCGGTGCGGTGGGTTAGGTTTCAGGGCTATGCTCTCTGGAGGCCGAGCTGTTTCTGTTTGTGGATTATGTCTTGATGAGGGTTCAATGCCCTGAACTCACGCTCTCCCCGAATCCCGGACTGCTCCAGAATGTGTGCACCGGACCGGCACTGAAGTGTTAAGTGGTCAGAAGGCCCGGGAAGGAGTTCGTGCATTTTTAGAATGTTACTCAAAGGTGGGGTTTGAAACTCTCCATAATCCTGGCATGGAACAGTTTACTTTTGTGATGAGTTTTCTGGGATGAGTTTTTTGTGATGAGTTGGTGGTATTCCGTTGAGTTTTCCAGCGAACAAGAGCCCATCTGGCTTTGCGGCTTGTCAGCAGGCTCCACGGTGTACTCTGTTCCGGCTGCTCGGGGGCTCTGCCCCACTTTCTCTTCCTAAAAGTCACGTCTCGCCACATGGCTGTGCAGACAGAGCGTGGGGGTGATGTCTCAGAGTGACTGACTCCAGGGGCTGGGGCGCCAGTTTCGGGCAGCCCCTGAGCACATGGATCAGTGTCTGCACAGTCCATGAAGCCCACCAGGCGTTCTCAGAGCACTGGCGTGGAGAATCCCTGTGATGGATCATTGGATTGAGATGTGTTGGCCACAGCCTAGACCTCAGAAATCTCTTTAAATTAGAATTCCTACACGAAGTGCTTTCAGTAATGCTCCTTTTTTTTTTTTTTCTCCTGTGGGGGGAGTGTGCCCACCTTCTGGTGAGATTCTGGGGGTTCTGAAAACTCCCAGAAACCCCAGGCTTTGGCCTGTTGTGAGGGCAGGGGTGGGTGGGGCTCGCAGGTCATGCTTACCTGGGGCTGCTGTGCTTCCTACAGGCAGGCCCCCCCGGCGTCCTGGCCCTGCTGGACGAGGAGTGCTGGTTCCCCAAGGCCACCGACAAGAGCTTTGTGGAAAAGGTGGTGCAGGAGCAGGGCACCCACCCCAAGTTCCAGAAGCCCAAGCAGCTGAAGGACAAGGCCGACTTCTGCATCATCCACTACGCCGGCAAGGTGAGCGGGGCGCACAGGAAGTGCGGCGGGGCCTTCTCAGGAGGTGGAAGGGCCTCCGGGACCACAAGCCACGCAGCCCCGGGTCAGGGACGGGGCGTAGCGTTCTCGTCTGATAATGTGCTGGTGGCAATAGTCAACACTCACACAGCCGTCACGCCTTACAAAGCCCCATTACACGGGCTACACCTCATCAGAAGCTCCTGCCATCCTGTAAGGCAGTGGTCGGCAAACTGCGGCTCGCGAGCCACATGGAACTCTTTGGCCCCTTGAGTTTTTAGCAAAGGCCAGCTTAGGAGTACCCTAATTAAGTTAATAACAGTGTACCTACCTATATAGTTTAAGCTTAAAAAATTTGGCTCTCCAAAGAAATTTCAGTCGTCGTACTGTTGATATTTGGCTCTGGTGACTAATGAGTTTGCCGACCACTGCTGTAAGGCCCTGGGGTGTGATGTCATTAGGCGCGTTTTCCTGGTGCAGTTCTGAGATTTGTGCTAAAGGCAGTGTCTGGAGTTTGAGTTAGAGTTCTGCTGCTGTGTGCTTTTTGGCTCCTCATCCTCCCTGGGCCTTGAGTGTCTCATCTGGAAAATGGGGGTGTCTCCCACCTTACATGGCCACGTTTGTGAGCCTGTGAAGCTCAGCTCCGGCACAGGTCTAGGGCAGGGCCTCTCAGTGTCCACACTACCAGTCGCTATTGTCGGGGACAGTGTTATGCTTTATAGGATGTTTAGCAGCATCCCCGCTTCTTCCCACCAGAGGGCAGTAGCACCTCCCTACAGCACAAGTGTCTCCAGACCTTGCCAAACAGTCATTATGGTGGAGGTGTGGGTGTGGTTGAGTGGTGAAAGCTTTGTTATTGCCAACGTGACCCGGTGAGGAGAGCCGTGGGCTTTCGCAGCACTGCTCCAGAGCCACACGTGGCCCCACTGCCAGCCCTCTGACTTCGCTCCTCACGTTCCTAAGGCTGCTGGAACCACTCTTGATTCTAAACTACCATTAAAAAAAGACAAAAACACTGTTTCTACAGCTACTAAGGTGACGCCCCTGAGCCTGCACCTCCGCTTCCGCCTGTTAGAAATGCGCATGCACAGGAGGCTTCGGTTGCAGCGTTGTTTATCATGCAAAAACCCGGGCACACCTGACCCCATTGGGGGTCTGGGTGATGATGAAACTGCCGTGCGCATCCACAGCAGCAAGAGGACCAGCAGGCTGGCTGTGCGCAGGTGGCCAGGACACCGGCCTGCGGTTTGTCATCTCCCGGGATGTAACTCTGGTCCGAGGGAAAAAGAAGCCACATCACCACGTTGTCGACTGTAGTACACGTGACCACCAGCCAGGGCACAGCAGTCGCCCCTGGGCCGTGGTATGGGCTGGACAGAGGGGGCCAGGGCGGCCTGCCGCTCTGCTCTTACTGTTCCGGGGTCTTTGCAATGAAGATACAACATGTTACTTGTATTTTTAAGAACATATTTTAGAAAAGATGAGAATATATGCTCATTAGAAAAAACTTGGACATCCTAAAAAGACAAAAAGCAAAAAAATGTCTATTACTAAAAAGTAATATTAAACATTTTGGTATATGTCTTTCTAGGATGTTTCTTTTTTGTCATATTACCTAAAAATGAAATAATAATTAAAAAAACAACAATAACCCACCCAGAATATTCTGTTGGGTAGCTGCAGCATAATTTTCTTAGTTCAGTTTACTGGGTAGTTGCGTTGTTTTAAATTGTTTGCTGTCTGTGTAACACCTCAGGAAACATCTTTCTTGCTAGTCCCTTGCCCTGGTCACTCATCATTTCCTTCTTAGGGATAGAAACACCGGGTCAAGGGGTGTCCATGTGTTTTAACGTTTCCACACGTGCCCTCTGAGAGGCTGTGGTGCTCGCGTCCCCGGAGCAGCCTGTGACTCCGGACTCTGGCTCTTGCAGGTGGATTACAAAGCCGACGAGTGGCTGATGAAGAACATGGACCCCCTGAACGACAACATCGCCACGCTCCTGCACCAGTCTTCGGACAAGTTCGTCTCGGAGCTGTGGAAGGATGGTATGCCCTTTGCCCCCACCCCGTCCCCCTGTGGCTGCAGCTGGGCTCTCCCCACCTTTGCAGCGGCCGAGCCACAGAACAAGGGGTGCAGCTCCATCTGACACAGGCCGCGGGGGGGACTGTAGCTCCCATGACAGGGTCTCTTTGAACCGAAGAGGTGAGGCTGCCCTTCAGTGCCCTCGAGCGTGCTGCATAGCTATTTCCTCTCAGGGCTTTGCTGTCCGCAGGCAAGCCACAGCGCTTTCCACATGTGGGAGGTCACCGGTGGCCCACAGCCCGGCCACGCAGGTTCCTGTCCGCGCCTCCCTGCGCTGCCGCCTCTCCTGGGTAGGCTGGTGGTTTGGAGCTGTGCTTTCTCACGGTCCTGCCAGTCTCTTTTCCCTCTGCCTGGGTTTTGCTTTAACCTCTCTGTTGCAGAGATGCAGAGCACTCAGAGAGCCTATTTCTATCAACGCTTTCCCATTCTCCACCTAGAACCAGGTGACTGGCCATCCGCAGTGGCGGCCCTTGTGTGTGGTGCATCCAGGGCTGTGGCAAGTGCTTCTGCTGCGTCGTCCTGCCCGTTGGCACTCCTGCCTGACTGCCCTGCCCTGGTCCACTTGGCCTTGTGGGAAGGCTCCCCCCAACGCAGGCCCCTGGTAGAGAACCAGCCAAATCAGGAGACCTCACGTTACAGACTTAAAGGACAAAACGTTTAAAAACCGATATGCTCCTCAGAGCTCCACTTGGCTGGCGTTGGAAGGTGGCGTCTTACTGCTTGAACGGCTGCAGGGGTCTCAGCATGAGGTGGAGGTGTGAGCTGCCTGTGCATGTGCCTCTGAAATAAAACCGCATCTGTGTGTTCCTTCTCCCAGCACTCCAGAGCCCCGCACCTGCCTCCAGGGGGCAGCACAGGCCCACAGAAAGCCAGTTATGTGGCCATGTTTGATCTTCCTCGGGGCAAGCTGAGTGGCCCTGGGTTAGAAGGTCAAAAATGCCTTCCATTTTATTATTATTTTTAAAAAATACATATTTTATTGATTTTCCACAGAGAGGAAGGGAGATGGGTAGAGAGCTAGGAACGTTGATGAGAGAGAAACGTCGACCAGCTGCCTCTTGCACACCCCCTACCGGGGATGTGCCTGCAACCAATGTACGTGCCCTTTACCGGAATTGAACCTGGGACCTTTCAGTCCGCAGACCGATGCTCTATCCACTGAGCCAAACCGGTTTCGGCAATGACTCCCATTTTAATTGGTTCATCAGGTTCATCCTCACCTCTGGCTTCTGTCTTGAGTTTCTGTCCTCCTTGCTTGTCTTCACATAAGTAATCGAGATCCGGCCATAAAGGGATAGGGAACAGGCTGTCATAGAATTCTTAACCTTTGCATCTTGCAGCGGAAAGCTTCCGGTTTAACATTGGCTCTGGCTTAACCCTGACCTCAGGTCGCTGGCTGCTTTGGGTTCATCTGTTGTTTTGTTTATGCCGTGGAGGAAGCAGTTCGTTTCATTGCTTCTGCGCATGCGTCACGGTGACGAGGGCAACTCCTCAGAGATCTGGGGCAGATGATAAAGACCCTTGAGCTCGGAGACAGAGCAAGTCACAGAGTGTGAGGAAACTTGAGTGGAACGGGCTCAGTTGGTTGTGGTTCTGTGGAGGACTCCACTTCTGATACCACCACGCAGCTCTCGGTCCCGGGCTTAGAGAGCGCTGCCTGGGCGATCCTAGATGGCGGACCACCAGTGCTGTAGACCATGGCACATAGCTCTGGAGCCCCCTCCCCCCGCCTCCTACAGTGTTTCCCCGAAAATAAGACATCCTCCGAAAATAAGACCTAGCACCTGGAAAGATAAGACATCCCCTGAAAATAAGACCTAGCGCAACTTTGGGAGAAAAAGTTAATTTAAGACACTGTCTTATTTTCGGGGAAACAGGATAGGCCTGTGCTCAGGTAAAGGGCAATGGAATTCAGGATATTGATTTTTGTTTTACCAACCACAGGACTATAAGGTCCTGTATGACACGTTTTCACACCACCCAGAGCCAGGGAGGGATAGCTCGGCTCACTGTTCCAAACACATTGCGAGCTTTATTGTGCCTGTGGGAGAGCTGCTGAGTGGGCTGAGGATAGGTTTTGTGGACAGAGCTTATGGCTGCAGCCAGGAGAGACCCTTCCCCCTTTTCCTGCGTCCTGCTCATGAGGTCAAGTGTGCTCATCGTTGGGGGTGACTGTGGACTGAGCAGAAAGGCTCCTGCTGTTCTGTAGCCTCACGTCTTTTTCTGTCCAGACGTCTGTCTCTTTCCCGCCCTGCGGGGACCGCCGGGTACTCACGTGCTTTTGCGTGGTCTCTGCAGTGGACCGCATCATCGGCCTGGACCAGGTGGCCGGCATGTCGGAGACGGCGCTGCCCGGGGCCTTCAAGACGCGGAAGGGCATGTTCCGCACCGTGGGGCAGCTCTACAAGGAGCAGCTGGCCAAGCTGATGGCCACGCTGCGCAACACCAACCCCAACTTCGTCCGCTGCATCATCCCCAACCACGAGAAGAAGGTGAGGGCGTCCCGCCCTGGTCTGTCTCCCCAGCTGCAGTGGTTCCTCCCCCACAGCACATGGAGTGCCCTTGGTGAACCCGTGGTGAAGCCCATCGGTGGGTGGGCTGGCTCGGGGGTGGCTGCATTTAAAGTTGCATTGCCACCTGGTGGCGCTGTCTCGTAGCCTGTCCAGGACTTGCATCATGTAACTCAGCATCAAAGCCCATGGACTCTGCAGCCGTGTCAAATTCGGTGCCTGCCCCGCCATGGCGGGCACTGGCCCCAAAGGCTGCCATAGAAACACTGTGGCACATGGGCCCTGGTCCCCTCTACTGGGCCTCAGGGATAAATTTGGCTACAGACACCAAGCTCCTAGACTCGGAGGCTGGGGGGTGTTGGTGGGGGGAGCATGGTTCGGATGAAAGCCATAAGATTGGATGAGCTAGATTACCTCTGGAGGGAAGAAACCATCACGCTTCCCTAAGGCTTGGAAGCCAGATTGTGAACCAGGAAGGGCTTCTGGGTCTCCCATGAATGCTCGTGTTCTTGGGTGTCCCCCAGGGGGAGGGAAAAAAAAGCCCATGGACTGCTAGGACTCCTGAGGCTTTGGTCCTATTGAGTCGGAGGGGACCCTTACCCATCTCTGTCAGTTCCGAGGCACAGCAGCAAGACCAAACGCATGTGTTTTCTCTAGTCTGGCAAACTGGACCCCCACCTGGTGCTGGACCAGCTGCGCTGCAACGGGGTTCTCGAGGGCATTCGGATCTGCCGCCAGGGCTTCCCCAACCGGGTGGTCTTCCAGGAGTTCCGGCAGAGGTGAGCGGGGCCTCCAGCAAGGAAGCCTCTTCCTCGGCCACCGAGCGCTGAGGTCAGGCCAGCTCCTCACACTCTCCTTCTCTGCTCCGCCCTCTACATGGAAAAGGATTTCCCTGCTTTTCTTACGGAAGTAATCTTGTTGGCTTTCATGCCTAGCGACTGCGGGGCCTGGCACTGTTTGCTCCAGTTAGAGGCAATTTACAGAGGTCAGCCAGAGACTTGGGCATTAAAGGGCAAGAAAGTCATAGAACACTGCAGCTTCTCGTCATGTGTGCAGAGAGGGGTGTTAATGACTGTCCTTTTGGCCTAGTGACTGTGTTTAGTGACAGTTGCTATCATGACACAGCCCTCTATTTCTTGGACCATCCCGTGTATTGGCAGTGCCCCCAGCATCTCGGGAAGAGATGAGTGGCCTTCTGGGGTTATAGCCGTGGATACCGGGCAATTATCAACCAGTAAGCCCAACCTGAAGCTCACCCTTGAGTGAGTTAAACAGTCCATGGAGAGTTTTTATTCACTTGCTGGGAAACGTTTTAGGCGGCTAAGAAAGGGGCAGGGTGGGGTTCTCCAGGTGTCTTCTTTCCTCAAAACGTGGAAGGAACTCGATGTCTGCAACACTTTCCGGTGGCCCTCTCTCACGGATATGCCAGGCCACGTGCATTGAACGAGGGATGAATGACCCGGCTTCTCTTCTCTTTCTTAGATACGAAATCCTGACGCCCAATTCCATCCCTAAGGGCTTCATGGATGGGAAGCAGGCGTGTGTGCTCATGGTGAGTGGAGCTCCCTCTGCTTGGAAGGATCTTTGGCTGGTGCGCGCCACATGGCCAGTGCCCGTCTCATGGGGGGAGGGGGAGTAGCGTGGAGTGGGGGATGCCCTGTGGGTCAGGTGACGCCCATGCTCTATTGGCCATCCAATGCTCCAGGTCCCGTCCTGCCAGGTTCCTTCTCCATCCTCTTCTCTAATTCCCACAGCTATACTGTGGGGAAGGTATTTACTCTGTCATTGGCTCTTTTTGTGTTTTAAAGAAAGCATCCCCGTCTATAGCTTAGGAGACGTGAGCTCGTAGAGGGGAAGGCCCAGGGTCCCCTCCTATTGAGCCTGGGCCTGGTCTGTTCTGGAATGTGTGCTCCTCTCCGTGACTGCGACGATGGTGCTTGGTTGCGGCAGCCTGGGCTTTTGAAGCGCATGACTGTAGTATGCAGAGGCGGGGGGAGGAGAAAGAGAGGACTTCACATTCCCTTTAAAGCTGAGGCTCTGTGTTTTCCTCAAGTCTGACTTGCAACCCTGCCCTGTGCTGGAACCCACCTGCCCCTCTTCCTAGCAGCCCCCTGAGCCCCAGGATAAGCAGAGAAGCAGAAACTCCAGGACTGACTCTATCTTACCCCTCCCCCTCCACACACACACACACACACACACACACACTCCCCACCCGAGGCAGGCTCTTGGTGTTGGCTGACTGAGGGCTCTTGGTGGCGCGTACATGGCCTGCTCTCTCCTGTTAGATCAAAGCCTTGGAGCTGGACAGCAACCTGTACCGCATCGGCCAGAGCAAGGTGTTCTTCCGGGCTGGCGTGCTGGCCCACCTGGAGGAGGAGAGGGACCTGAAGATCACTGACGTCATCATCGGGTTCCAGGCCTGCTGCAGGGGCTACCTGGCCAGAAAGTGAGTTCCAGAGACACCAGCCTCCCCTCGCCTGCCCTGCACTCGGGCCTTCGAACCCTCCTGGTGCAGAGGGCCCCTTAGGAAGCTGTGGTCTGGGAGCCCTAATGCCAGTCAGGTCTCTGCCTAAGGGAGGCCAGGTGGCGCTCCCTGATCCCCGGCTTCCTGGGTTTCCGCCTGATGTTTAAAGTGACAGGGTTGACAGGTGGTGAGTGTGCTTGGATTTGCCTGCCCGGAAGGCTCCCGCTCACTGGTATTTCTTGCTGTGTCCCTCGGGTGGGGATGACACCCGGAGCCTGGCTGTCCCCAGAGCACCCCGAGTTCCCAGGGGAGGGGAGGAGGCTGCCCTTGGGGCTCACCTGCTGCAGGACATTGGTCTCCTGAGCCCAGGGCTATAGTTCGCAGCCTAAACTCCAAGCGCTGGGAGCCAGAGCCTTCGCTCATCCAGAAGCCCCGTTAGTGGCCATCTTAAGGGTGGGAAGCTGAAGTCAGTGATCGGCTGAATGGCAACGCTTGGCTTGGATCTGCAGTTAGTACACAAGGTTCTTCCACCTCGTGAAGGAGGGTGGGCCTGTGACTCAGGCCCTTGCCACCCTCTGCAAGGTCACCCATAGGACTCCACCCCAAGGCCAGCCTCTTCCTCTGCCTTTCTGCACTGAGGTGCCAGGCAGGGTCAGCCCTCGGGAGAAGCTCCCGGGAGCAAGGTCAGGACTGACAGGTTAGAGGTCCGTCCCCTGCCCTGAGGTGCTGACCGTGCCGCTCGCCCACAGGGCCTTTGCCAAGCGGCAGCAGCAGCTGACGGCCATGAAGGTCCTGCAGAGGAACTGCGCCGCCTACCTCAAGCTGCGGAACTGGCAGTGGTGGCGGCTCTTCACCAAGGTGGGTCCTGGACGGGCCTCCCGTTGGGGCTCTTGCCCTGAGGGCGCTTTGCCTTTGCCTCCCCGTGCCTGGCAGCGTGACTCCAGGGTGGCCCTGCCCGTGGGGTCCAGGGGCATGTGAGCAGTGGTGTTTGCCCGGTGTGGATGGCCATGGCCTGCTGGCAGGCTGGCCTAGAGTGGCTCACACAGCAGCTTCCAAGATGGAAGGCCCACCTGCCACGGCCACACGTGTCTTGGGCACTGCGCTCCACCAAATTGATTTCCAGAAAGATTGCCCGCGTGTGTACCCACAGCGTGCCTAGTTACCCCTCACATTTCTGTGGGTGAGGGGGAAGCCTCATGGCTGTTGTCCGGACAGTCGCCTTAAGCTGAGCGTGTCTGTCTCCATCGCCTCTCCCAGGTCAAGCCGCTGCTGCAGGTGAGCCGCCAGGAAGAGGAGATGATGGCCAAGGAGGAGGAGCTGGTGAAGGTCCGGGAGAAGCAGCTGGCTGCAGAGAACAGGCTCACGGAGATGGAGACCCTGCAGTCCCAGGTGAGTGTCTGTGGACCGGCCCAAACCGTGCAGCCGGTCGCAGTGCTGCCACCTGCTGGCCCTCTGTGGGCGAGGCATGTTCAAGGAGATGTTTCACTAGGAAATGGCTAATCTCTGTAGATTTCATTCAGGGCTATGTGATGTAGGGAGGCTGCCCAATGGGGTGGGAAGCTCAGGAGTGTTGGGTTTGAGGCCCAGCTCCAGCACTCGAGCCTGTTTCCTAGGGATCTTGCCTTGGTGTGCAGCCCCTGTCGTAGCAGTAAAGGATGGAGAACATGATAGTTAGACAGTGGCTGGGAACTTAGCACTTCCAAGATGGAAACTGCTCTTGTCAGCATGGTCCTCTCTCCGGAAGGCCGGGCTAGGGAACATGTGTCCCGGAGTGGCTTGAGCAGGCTGAAGGAACTCACATTTTACACGTGTCATTTGCAGCTCATGGCAGAGAAGATGCAGCTGCAGGAGCAGCTGCAGGCAGAAACGGAGCTGTGTGCCGAAGCCGAGGAGCTCCGGGCCCGCCTGACGGCCAAGAAGCAGGAGTTGGAGGAGATTTGCCATGACCTTGAGGCCAGGGTGGAGGAGGAGGAGGAGCGCTGCCAGCACCTGCAGGCAGAGAAGAAGAAAATGCAGCAAAACATCCAGGTAATCCAGTTTCGCCCCCTCTGGACACCGGAGGAGGGGACCGGGTGCTGTGAGGAGCAGTGAGTGGGAACTGGAGAGAACACAAAATGGAAGTGCCTTCGTGGGCCGATCTGCCCCCTTTTGTCTTTGTGGGACAGTCTTTGAGGGGCTTTCTCTTCGGGCAATTGTTTCTCAAACGTGTGTCTCGGCTTTCCACGTGCCGCCCAGCTGAACACAAAGCCAGTTTTATTTCCCGCAGTGCCGGCTGCTCTGAGGAGCGGAGGGCGACCCGCTCTGCTCTCTGCCACGTCCTCATGGTGGGGAGCTTGCTAATGGAGCACCTCAGAACAAGCAACCTCATGACTGGACTGCGCTTCTTGTCTGCACGCCCCAGTCTTCACTGTGTGACCCCACATGTGGGTGGGCCACGTCCGAGCCACCCACACTGGGCTTGTTTGGTCCATCTCCTCACGACCCTGGGCTTTGTGACAGGAGCTGGAGGAGCAGCTGGAGGAGGAGGAGAGCGCCCGCCAGAAGCTGCAGCTGGAGAAGGTTACCACGGAGGCCAAGCTAAAGAAACTGGAGGAAGACCAGATCATCCTGGAAGACCAGAACTGCAAACTGGCCAAGGTGAGGCCTCATGTGGGACATGGGCTGTGGAGGGCGGGCTGGCCCAGGCCACGGCCGAGCCTCCTGGCTGCTGTCTGCAGCACCGTGGCTTCTGCTCAGGAGAAGATTCTTCCTGTGCCCCTCCTGGGTATCCCCTGGCCTCCAGGTGCCAGGGTCACATTGAAGGGATGTTCCAAGGGACAGGCTTGGCATTTCTCCTCAGTAAGCTCCTGAGATCCTTGGCCAGCTTGCACACTGCAAAACCTCACACCCTCACACACACTGCACACCCTCACACACTGCACACCCTCACACACTGCTCCTCCTCACACACTGCACACCCTCACACACACTGCACACCCTCACACACTGTACCTCCTCACACACATTGCTCCTCCACACATCCTGCACGCCCTCACACACCCTCACACACTGCATACCCTCACACGCACTGCACACCCTCATACACACTGCACGCCCTCACACACCCTGCACACCCTCACACATCCTCACATGCACTACACATCCTCACATACTGCACCTCCTCACACACTGCACCCCTAACCCCACAGGAGAAGAAGCTGTTGGAAGACAGAATAGCCGAGTTCACCACCAACCTCACGGAAGAGGAGGAGAAATCGAAGAGCCTGGCTAAGCTTAAGAACAAACACGAGGCCATGATCACCGACCTGGAGGGTAAGAGGGTGATGGGCAGAGCTGTTACTCAGGAACCCGAGGCATCCAACCACTCAGGGCCAGGCTGGGCGTCACTGCCAGGAGTGGGAGCGCCCGGCTGGTGTCACCCGCACTCCACGTGGGTGAGGCACAGGGTCTGCAGCAGCCAGCCGCTGCCCTCAAGACCTAGGGTCCAGCATCTGGTCCCGATGGGACTCTGGGCCGGCAGGCACCGGTGCTGTGTCGGGGGAGGGGGCTCCCCCTAAGTAAAGCGCGTTCAGAGTAAAGCCCTGGCGTTTCCATCGTGCTCCGTGGGTTTCACCAGCTTTGAAGTCTTCCCAAGAGGTTCTAGGTAGACCTGCCCCTCTACTTCCTGGTTCCTCCACTCCTCCCCAGCCTGCCGCTCCCTGGCTGTCATCTTGTACCCATCACTTACCTCCCAGGGGGCACAGTGAAAGGGCATTTGTGAGAACTAAAGGGTTTAGTGATGTGGACAAGCTGTGTGTACTGTAAAATGCTAGGCCGATATCGCAGGGTCCTTGCTTGTCTTGGGACAGAATGACAAATCGTGTCCTGGTCTCCCTGGGCCCTGCGTCTGTGGTGAGGAGACCTGCAGACCCGTGGCTGTCTGTGGACCGCTTGCTCCTCCCCTTAAGAGGAGTGGACACGGGTGATAGAGGAAACCAGGGAACTCTGAGCTTGGCCAGGAACCACCGTGCCCTCTGCGGAGACACAGGGCAGCGGTGTGTCCAGGGCAGCGGGTGGGAGTGGGGAGGGTTGGACAGACACAGGTCCTGGCAGCTCATGGTGATGTTCTCCTTCATCTGGGAGTTGGTCTGGGTGTCTGTGTATTGTGACCCTTCAATCCTCATGTGTGTTTTATAATGTGCAGACTTTACGTAAGAATTAAAAATAGCCCAGCCGGCAATGGCTCAGTGCTAGGGTGTTGACCTATGAACCAGGGGTCACGGTTTGATCCCCGATCAGGGAACATGCCTAGGTTCTGGCTTGATTCCCCCATGTGAGGCATGCAGGAGGCAGCCAATCAATGATTCTCTCTCCTCATTGATGTTTCTATCTCTCTCCTCCTCTCCCTTCCTCTCTGAAATCAATAAAAATGTTTTAATAAAAAATAATTAAAAAGCAAGATACCAAGGTCTCTGGCCACTAAGGACTTTGTCGGCTTCTCCCCGTTCTTCCTTCTCAGAGCGCCTCCGAAGAGAGGAGAAGCAGCGTCAGGAGCTGGAGAAGACCCGCCGGAAGCTGGAGGGGGACTCCACGGACCTCAGCGACCAGATCGCCGAGCTCCAGGCTCAGATCGCCGAGCTCAAGATGCAGCTGGCCAAGAAAGAGGAGGAGGTCCAGGCCGCCCTGGCCAGGTGAGCCGGAGCGTCAGCCCGCCAGTGCGTCAGAGCCAGCCCTTCCTGCGGCTGCCCGCTGTGGGCCTTGGTGCCTCAGTGAGCTGGGAGCACTTGCTCTGCTGTTGTCTTGGAAACCGGTTCATAGCAAAACATTTCCTGACATTTGATTGTAATTCTCAAAAAGTCATCCACAATATCACCAAACCATTGGCTCTAGGAATGCTTTTTTAAAAAATAGACTATTTCTTAGAGTAGTTTTAGACACATAGCAAAATTGAGCCAGCAGTATAGAGAATTTTTATAACCTCCACCACTACCACAACACACACACACACACACACACACACACACACACACACAGTCTTCTCCCACAATCAGCATCCTACACCAGAGTGGTATACAGTAGGTCTTCGGGTTACGTCGAAGATCCTTTTCTACATCATGATGGAACTCAATTTTCGCCATAAGTCGGAACTCACCTACATAAGCACCTACATCACTCACATGGAGCACATACACAGCAGTAATCAAGTGAAACAGTAAAAAAAAAAAAAAAAAAAAATTAAAGAAAGATAACAATTCCTGACCTTTAGTTGTGGTAAATACAGTAAATAATAAAAAATATAAAGCACATGTGTACATATGTTGAAATGATGGCTTTTTTTTCCTTGTTATAAATAATTGGGAGATGGCGACGCAACCACGAAATGCCATGTCAAGTCAGATGTAACCTGAGGACTGTCTGTGTATATATTTGTTACAGTTGATGAACCTACATTGATACATCATTATCACCTAGAATCTGTAGCACATTTGTATTTTTATTTTGTTGCAGTCTTTATGGACTGTAGTGATTTATTTCTCTTTATTGGTTTATTTAATATTTGAACTTCTCTGTATGTTGAAAGCACTGGAATTCAGTTTGGCAAATGAAATGATTTCTCTGAGTTTCCCCGTGCTGAAAGTGGCACTGCCCTTACCTTTGGCTCAGTGTGCCTCAGGCACTGTTTGTGCTGAGTGAGTGAAGGGCCAGGATTCAGACTGCACAGATGGCTTTGGCTGCTTTTCTCTGAAGCCTTATCTGCAAACTCTGCTCCTCAGAGGTGAACTGGCCTCACGTTGACGTTGGTTTCTTTGGCAGAGTGGAGGAAGAAGCCACGCAGAAGAACATGGCCCTGAAGAAGATCCGTGAGCTGGAATCTCAGATCTCCGAGCTGCAGGAGGACCTAGAGTCTGAGCGTGCTTCTCGGAACAAAGCTGAGAAGCAGAAGCGGGACCTTGGGGAAGAGCTGGAGGCTCTGAAGACAGAGTTGGAGGACACCCTGGATTCTACGGCTGCCCAGCAGGAGCTCAGGTGTGCCATGGGGCGGACTGGCCAAGCCACAGACGGGAAAGGAGGCTGAGGCCTGAAAGGGGTGGGTCCCAGGCCTGTGAATACACCTAGAGCGTGTGTGAATACACACACAGAGCGTGTGTGAATACACGCAGAGTTGGTGTGAATATACAAAGAGCATGGAAGCTGTAGGATCCTCAGTACCTTCTCTCTACCAAAGCCCTATTCAAGAACCTGGCTTGAAGTGTGGGTGAGACGGGCTGGGCTTTAAGGCTGAAGGGTACGGAAGCCTCTGCAGTGCCTACGCCTGCAGAGGATGGCAGCTGGGGTGGGAGACCCAGGGCACTGGCTGGCACCCGGGCAGCCCCGCTCCAGGCTCCCTGGCCTCCATTCTGAGGGCATTTCTCTCCAGGTCCAAACGTGAGCAGGAAGTGAATATCCTGAAGAAGACCCTCGAGGATGAGGCCAAGACCCACGAGGCCCAGATCCAGGAGATGCGGCAGAAGCACTCACAGGCCGTGGAGGAGCTGGCCGAGCAGCTGGAGCAGACAAAGCGGGTACGTGGGCTTCCCCCAGGGATGTGACTTCAGCTGGGGGGTGGGGAGATCTGGCACCTTTCAAGGGCGGGTCCTCCTGGAGTCTGGCTGCTTCTCCGGGCCAGTCCTGTAGGACGAACAGCTCCCCAGCTAGACTGCCGGGGTCAGGGGTCAGAGTTGAGCTCCAGCCCTCAGCAGCTGTGTGACTTCAGCAGACAGTTAACCCATGCCTCAGTTTCCCCCTCTGTAAAAGAGGTAATGATAAGGTCTGTCAGTTGGAGTTAATGACACATGTAGCACTTAGATAGCATTAAAGCACTTAGGGGCTCAGTACATTGTTCAAATACAGTTACTATTATTTTGTTCAACAACTGCCAGACAAGAAAGCTCCCAGGAATTGGAGCAACCTGAAACAGAGTTCCACAGGGCCTGAGGATCCCTTTGCTGAAGTCTGGGTCCTCTCTAGACATCTCCCAGCTGGAGTCTTCTGGGGAAAACCCTGGGATGTTCATCCCAGCTGGTTTCTCTGCCAGGCAGCTGTGGCCTTAACAGTTTTTTAACAGGACAAGTCCTGCCTCCTGTGGCTCCCAGCTCCCAGCCACTCTCATTGGCAGCTCACACGGTCAGATCTCTTCTGTGAGCAACCTATAAACTGTTTCCTATAAAATATTTTAGAGCCCTTGCCGGCGTGGCTCCATGATTAGAGCATCGGCCCATGTGCCAAAGGGTCGTGGGTTTGATTTCCCATCAGGAGCATGCAAGTTTGATCCTCAGCCCTGCATGTACCCTGTCCAGGAGACAATTCATGTGTCTCTCACATGGATGTCTCTTTCTCTCTCTCTGTTTCTTCCTCTCTCTCTCTCTCTCTCTCTCTCTCTCAAAAAAAAAAAAAATAAAATAAAATAAATATATATATATATATATATATATATATATATATATATAAAACTTGTTTCTAAATTTATATATATATATATATATATATATATATATATATATATATATATATATATATATATATCCATCCATCCATCCTCCGGTGAGCATTAACAACAACCACAAAAATTTAGAAACAAGTTTTGTCCATCTGTCTCCCTTCAACTCCCACCCAGCTATGCGCAGAATGAAGCCTTTCTTGGGCCTTTAGCTGTTTACCCAGCATTCCTCTGCATTCACGGTTTATCCTTGCACTTGCCCAGGACCTGTGGCCAGCATGGTGCAGACTAGAATGGGATTGTCATGTTTGTTCTGTAAACTCCACTTTATTCTTTGGAAGAACATCACATCGTTATTTAGAACATCAACCCTGAAAGAGGCTTTGCTGGATGTCTAGCTGTGAACAGTTATAATTTCCTTCATTCTGTAATATCATCATTAACGCCATCATATCAGCAGTGACAACGTCTTACACTTTACCATTCCCTCTCCCCTGAGGAAGGCTGGGCAGGGGTGGATTAGAGGTGGAGCAGGTGAGGCCTCAGAGATGAGGAGACGTGCTGGTGTCATGTGTGGGTGTCACGCACTGGTGTCATGCACTGGCTGAGTGATGAGTACTGATCAAGTGCGAGCCTTGAGTCCGGGGCGCTGGCAAGAGGCCACCTCCCAAACGAACCCAACATCATTTTTTTTCGGCAGAGGCAGTGATTCTCCCAATGATACTAGAAAGACCAGCCTCATAACAGGGCGCCAAGGATGATGCCCCTCTCACACCTTTGCTTCCTTCCCTACCAGGTGAAAGCCAACCTTGAGAAGGCCAAGCAGACCCTAGAGAATGAGCGAGGGGAGCTGGCCAATGAGGTGAAGGCCCTGCTGCAGGGCAAAGGGGACTCCGAGCACAAGCGGAAGAAAGTGGAGGCCCAGCTGCAGGAGCTGCAGGTGAAGTTCAACGATGGAGAGCGCGTGCGCACGGAGCTGGCCGACAAGGTCACCAAGCTGCAGGTGAGGACTCTACCGGGACCCGGGCCTGGGCCGTGGTCCCTTCGGCAGCTCCTCGCCTGGGGCCCAGTTCCCCAGGCTCCTGCTTTTTTTCTTGCCTCACACTCGTTCTTCGGCGAGGCTTCTGGTTCAGCTTAGCCTGGAAGCATGGAGGTGGGTTAGGCCTTGTCAGATTCATGCCTTTGTCTCCACCGTCTCTGCAGGTTGAGCTGGACAACGTGACAGGCCTCCTCACCCAGTCTGACAGCAAGTCTAGCAAGCTCACCAAGGACTTCTCCACCCTGGAGTCCCAGCTGCAGGACACACAGGTGAGGGTGGCAGCGGTTCTCTGCAGCTGAGCCTTTCCCAGGAGGAGGCATGCATCTCCTGCACATCTCTGGGTCCTTCTGGCTCCCCTGCAGGGTCTCCCTGATCAGAGGGATCAGCTGCTCCCCCGCCAGGGGTGTGGGGCTGCGAGGCTCTGACGCTGCCCCTCCCGGCCCCGCGCCCCTCTTATCCCCATGTAGGAGCTCCTGCAGGAGGAGAACCGGCAGAAGCTGAGCCTGAGCACCAAGCTGAAGCAGGTGGAAGACGAGAAGAACTCCCTGAAGGAGCAGCTGGAGGAGGAGGAGGAGGCCAAGCGGAACATGGAGAAGCAGATGGCCACTCTCCAGGCCCAGGTTCGGTGCTAGCTCCCCCGCAAGAGGCCCAAGCTGGGGAGGCACGGCCCTGTCTGCTGGTCCATCCAGGCTGCCAGTGCTGGGTGCCCTTCCGCAGGGAGCTCCTGCCCTCTCCAGCCCAGGGCCCTTAGCCCAGGTGCCCAGGTAGAATTCAGGGATCCGTGAACCCGGAGGGAGGAGGCTGGACACCTTGGTTCTCACCAGTCTCTAGCGGACATCTCGCATTTTCATCCTTATGCCAGTGGACAGCCAGCCATGGCGGTCACAGTGCTGTGGCCTTGCTCACTGGAACCCAGTCCCATGTCCAGGCCACGGCGGGGCTTCGGGCATGTCACTATGCTCCTGGCATTTCTGGAGGCTGCTGCTTGATGTGCTAATAAAGAAGAACTTGGGTCACAGCTAGTTTTTATTTTTATTTATTTATTTATTTATTTATTTATTTTTTAAATATATATTTTATTGATTTTGTACAGAGAGGAAGGGAGAGAGATAGAGAGTTAGAAACATCGATGAGAGAGAGTCATCGATCAGCTGCCTCTTGCACACCCCCTACTGGGGATATGCCCACAGCCAAGGTACATGCCCTTGACCGGAATCGAACCCGGGACCCTTCAGTCCCCAAGCCGACGCTCTATCCATTGAGCCAAACCGGTCTCGGCCACAGCTAGTTTTTAAATATCTGAGCACTGTCACATTCCTGTCCTGGCGTTCTTGATAGTCCTGTGCATTCTGTGTGTATCAGGACGTCATGATGAGGAGTTTGTAGTCTGCTCTAGACGGTCAGAGGACCCACACCCAAACTCGGTCAGGAGCTCTGTTCTAGATCCTGTCTGGGACTTCAATGTGCCCGGTCGGGAGGCCTGCCCTGAGCTCAGAAAGGGTGCACGGTCTGCTCCACAGTCTGGGGGAGGAGTGGCCAGCACGTGCGTGTGATGGCAGCTCTGTGTCGAGGTGCAAGGAGGAGGCTGAGGACAGTGTCTGGGTCCTCCTGACTCCCGCACACAATTCCCCAGGGGGCACTGGCCCTGCTGCCTGGGGCAGGTGACGAGGATGCTTGCCTTGGGTGAGCTCTTGTAAGGGGTAGGTCACAGTGGAGAGGCCCTGCAAAGCTGGCCTGAGTGCCACTCCATGTCCTAGGCAGACACTCTCTGCAGAAACTCGGTTTCTCTTACCCAGTGGAAGAGGGAGCTCCATAATTGGGGGGCTCCCTGGCCTCCATTCCGTGAGGTAGCAGGCCAGTCCCAGCTGCCTTGGGCACAGGTGCGTGACCTGAACAGGTGCCATCTTGGGTGTCTCCTTACTCCTTGCTCCTGCCCAGGTGACGGACATGAGGAAGAAGATGGAGGATGGTGTGGGGTGCCTGGAGACTGCCGAGGAAGCCAAGAGGAAGCTGCAGAAGGACCTGGAGGGGCTGAGCCAGCGCTACGAGGAGAAGGTGGCCGCCTACGACAAGCTGGAGAAGACCAAGACACGGCTGCAGCAGGAGCTGGACGACCTGCTCGTGGACCTGGACCACCAGCGGCAGAGCGTGTCCAACCTGGAGAAGAAGCAGAAGAAGTTTGACCAGGTGTGTGCCGTCCGCACGCTCCCTTTTCCTTTCTTCTGCAAACACCGGGGCTTCGGGCCTCGGCCGCGGACACCGAGGGAGCCTGGGATCCCATCACTAGCAGCAGTGTGGGCTTCCCACTAGTCAGGTTGGGTCAGTGGCTAGAGTGGCTAGTGCAGGCTCAGCCCCCGTCGGGGCGTGTGCGGAAGGCAACCAGTTGATGTGTCTCCCACATTGATGTTTCTCTCTGCATGTTTCGCCTTCTTCCTCACACTCTTTCTAAAAATCAGTGGAAAAAATACCCTCAGGTGAGAATTAACAACAAAAAAGGAAGTGCTCGGAGCTGGGCATCTTCATTTGATAGACTCCGGAGTGACTTTTCCGCTTTCTGGTTTCTTATGTTTTTCACGCCTTCTATAATGAACCGATTTTTTGTGTGCACGTGTTCATGCCTCTTCCTCATTCTACAGGACCTGAGGCAACACATAGAGGGCAAACCGTGGGCTGGGATAGAAAATGGGAGAAATCAGGGCTCAGCTCCCGGCCCCGTGCGCTCGGCCAGGCTGCTTCCTGTCCAGCGTCTCTGGCTGCTTTGCTGCTATCAGCACAAAGTCAGGTGGTGGCTGCATGCACACAGCCTGCAAAGTCTAAAGCACTTGCTCACAGGTCCTTTAAGAAACAGGTGCATGGAATAAATGAGGGGCGGGACCAAGGGAATGGGAGGTGGAAAATAAGGCTCAGCAAGGGTAGGCCCACACGAAGAGTGGGCACCAGGGGGATTTAAACTCACGTCCTTGGGCGAGGCCACAGCAGCCGGAGTCACACCCATCAGGTCGTTCAGGAGAACAAAGCCCTTCCAGGTCCTAGCGGCCATGTTTCCTGTGGTTCTTATGGAGGGAGCTGTGGGACAAAGAACCATTAGTGAGTGATAAAACGAGAGACCTAAATCCTGGTGGCAGAGGCGATCTCTGCCCTCATCGGTTACACACCGACAGTGCCTGTCACCGTGGGAACCAGCTGGGTTGCCCAGGCAGCAGTTTGTGCTTGTTCTTCCCGGTGCCCCTCCCTGGCCAGCACTGGACATTCAGCCACAGTCTGCACGTGCTACCGGCCTGGGTCCACGGGTTCTGAGCTCTTTCTAGGAGCCATTGCTCGAGTCTCATGGCCGTATCTTTCCCAGCTCCTGGCGGAGGAGAAGACCGTCTCTGCCAAGTATGCGGAGGAGCGTGACAGGGCAGAGGCAGAGGCCCGAGAGAAGGAGACCAAAGCCCTGTCGCTGGCCCGGGCCCTGGAGGAGGCCATGGAGCAGAAGGCAGAGCTGGAGCGGGTCAACAAGCAGTTCCGCACGGAGATGGAGGACCTCATGAGCTCCAAGGACGACGTGGGCAAGAGTGTGAGTACCAGGAGGGGCTGCGTGGGGCAGCACGGAGGGTTAGCGTGGGAGTGGACACTGAGCCCTCGGGGACCCCTTGTCCCCTTGGTCCTGACTCGGGTCCCCTCGGTGGCAGGTCCACGAGCTGGAGAAGTCTAAGCGGGCCCTGGAGCAGCAGGTGGAGGAGATGAAGACCCAGCTGGAGGAGCTGGAGGATGAGCTTCAGGCCACCGAGGACGCCAAGCTGCGGCTGGAGGTGAACCTGCAGGCCATGAAGGCCCAGTTTGAGCGGGACCTGCAGGGCCGGGACGAGCAGAGCGAGGAGAAGAAGAAGCAGCTGGTCAGACAGGTGCGTGTGGCGCTCCTCCTTCAGGGTCAGGGCCCTCTCGGCCTCTGGGCAGAGGTGGGCATGGAATCCCCCACCCTGCCAGGTTTCCAGCAGATGCCCCCTCTCCTCCCTCTACCTGATGGAGGAAGGCTCCCTGGCCATGTCTTCCAGTCCTCTGTCCTGGGAAGTGGGGGAATCCCTGAGCATATCAGGATTTTTTCTGTTAGTAATTCTCCTTGGCTCCTGAGCCCCATGGAGCCACAGCGCTAGGCCAAACCCACCTGGGTTCAGAGCTGGAGTCGGGTCTGTGTGTGGGTCCTGCCTCCTGAACTGTGGGCATCTCCCCCAGGTGCGGGAGATGGAGGCAGAGCTGGAAGACGAGCGGAAGCAGCGCTCACTGGCAGTGGCCGCGCGGAAGAAGCTGGAGCTGGACCTGAAGGACCTGGAAGCCCACATCGACTCGGCCAACAAGAACCGCGACGAGGCCATCAAACAGCTGCGGAAGCTGCAGGTGAGGTCAGGCCCGACCACAGCAGACCTGGCCGCAGGCGGCGGTGCTGGGTCAGCGTGGGGCCGGGAGTCTAGTGGGGTGGCCAGTGAATGGGGATGATTGCCGCCTTCCCCCTATCCGAGGGTGGTCTTGGTGTCCTCAGTCCGTCACACAGATGGAGACTCAGGCCCAGTGATTGAGTGGGAACAAACAGTCTGAAAGCTACTTGACCAAGATCTTTAGGATTAAAACAGACGGCAGGAGAAGAAGAAAGGAAATGTGCTCCTGGGTGAGGTCGGGATAGCCTGGCAGAGTAGCAGGTGTCGGCGTGGGGGTGGGGTGAGGGGAAGGGTGCCGGAGTGCAGGATTCAAGCCAACAGGGAGTTGTAGAAAGTGAAACATGAGCCACATTGTAGATCCTGATGGCCAATGAGTATAAAAGAGTGTCAGGTAAAGGAGCATTTTGTCTTTGGTTACTGTTTTGCCCTTTTAGTTAAGCTTGTTCCTTGTGGTGTCAAGGAAAAGGGCAGCCTTTTCACAATAAGGTCCTGTTGGTGGTTGTCCCTTGGAGGGGGTGGAAGGAGGCATCTGTGGTGGGCAGGACATGAGTGGCCACTGGGGTCGGGGTGGAGGTACCAAGTGTCTCTTCCCCCAAACAGGCACAGATGAAGGACTACATGCGCGAGCTGGATGACACGCGGGCCTCCCGCGAGGAGATCCTGGCTCAGGCCAAGGAGAACGAGAAGAAGCTGAAGAGCATGGAGGCCGAGATGATTCAGCTGCAGGAGGTGATCTGGGCCAAAGGGTCAATCAGAGTCTCTGCCCTCTGGCCAGCAGGTGGCAGTGCAGGGCTGAATATAAGCTAGGGCAGTGGTTGGCAAACACATTAGTCAACAGAACCAAACAATAGTACAATTGAAACTTCTTTTGAGAGCCAATTTTTTTTAAACTTAAACTATATAGCTAGGTGCATTATTGTTAACTTAATTAGGGTACTCCTAAGCTGGCCTTTGCTAAAAACTCAAGAGGCCAAAGAGCTGCATGTGGCTCACAAGCCGCAGTTTGCAGACCACTGAGCTAGAGGCACTCCAGGATTTAGTTGGGGTGGATCTTGATGAAAGAATTCCCTGCAGGATTTTAGTTTGTAACCTCCACCTCCCACTGTGAATGGCCTCCTGGCCAAGAGAGGTCCCTCCCAGAGGCTTGTGTGCTGAGTGTCCCCTTGTCTATCACACACGAGGCATATAGATGCTCAGCCTCGATCGGCAGGCCTCTGCAGTGGGGGCCAGACATCCAGGCAGGTCCTCGTCCACTCTTGCTAATTGACTGTGCTCTCCTGGGTGGGATCCTTCCCTCCATGGTCACATGAGGGCCTTTGTCCATGGCCCCTCACCCTGGGGGTCAAGCCCTTCTCCTCCACCTGGCTTTCAGAGACCTCACACCCAGGTCCTAACTCACGTCTCTAGCTCGTCCCTCCTGATATCTGGTCTACCCAGGATGAAGAGGGACCAGCATGTCCCGTTAGGCCACAATGGTTTCTTATTTTTCGCTACATCCCTGGCTCCAGGCCTGGTTCCGAGCACTTAGATTGTGTGGGGGGGGGGGAGATGGGACTTTATAAACCTGTGGTGCCTAATCTGTGACCTCTGAGGGAGGAATCAGCCCTGTGAGCCAGAGGGGCTCGTGGGAAAGGACCTCCTGGAGGAGGCAGGCCCAGAAGGGGCTTAGAGGGGGCGCCAGGGTCTTGGGGAGGTTGGCCCTGCAGAGGACCAGGAAGGGAAGGGTGGCCTTTCAGGCAGCAGGCTGCTAGCGGGTCACACTCTGGGTTCTCGTGGCAGGAACTGGCAGCTGCAGAGCGTGCCAAGCGCCAGGCCCAGCAGGAGCGGGACGAGCTGGCCGACGAGATCGCCAACAGCAGCGGCAAAGGGTGAGTGAGCCTCTGTGTAAAGGTGGGTGTTGTGGGGGGTACGCCCCCTCCGGGACGGGCCCCTTCTCACGCCTCTCCGGCCTCCCCAGAGCCCTGGCGTTGGAGGAGAAGCGGCGCCTGGAGGCTCGCATCGCCCAACTGGAGGAAGAGCTGGAGGAGGAGCAGGGCAACACGGAGCTGGTGAACGACAGGCTGAAGAAGGCCAACCTGCAGGTGGGCAGGGCACCGCACCATGTTTGGGCAGTGGGTTCTGAGCGCCACCTCGGCCAAGCCAGCAGCTTCCTGATTGCTTAGGGGAGCGTGTCCTGGCCCCTCTTAAATTTGGGGGGCCTGGTGTTATAAAGGGGTCTGTGGGGTTTGTCCCCAGCAGGGTCCCCAGCCTTCCTCCGCTCACGAGCCCTTCTTCCCACAGATCGATCAGATCAACACAGACCTGAACCTCGAGCGCAGCCACGCCCAGAAGAACGAGAACGCCAGGCAGCAGTTGGAGCGCCAGAACAAGGAGCTCAAAGTCAAGCTGCAGGAGATGGAGGGCACCGTCAAGTCCAAGTACAAGGCCTCCATCACTGCCCTGGAGGCCAAGATCGCGCAGCTGGAGGAGCAGCTGGACAACGAGACGAAGTAGGTCTCCCTCTCCCGTCACCTGAGCAAGCTTCAGGCCCTATGGGTGTAGTCAGGAACCAGCTTCCTGTCCCTGCGGCTCACCTCCCCATCCCGACGGGCTCTCCTCCGTTTCCCTGGGGCCTGTAGAGCTTGGGGAGCCCGTGGTCCCCCTCTGAAGTTGAGGGTTTGGGGGACTATCTGGTAAGCTGCCTCAGACAGAGGTAGGCGTTCATAACCAGTTGGGCACAGTCTGGGCTCAGCAAGACAGAGACTTTTGGGGAGGTAATGGGGGTCCCACTGCCCCCCCATCTCAATTTTCCCTTTTCCTAGGACCACATATGCTCTGAGATGTGTCCCTTTTCTTCTCAGAGCCCCATTTTCCCCATCTGTGAAATGGGGCCAATTAACGTGGCTCCCAGAATAGCCAGAGCTCGCAGTGGGGTGTCCAGTAAAGAGGGGCTGCCCTAGCATCAAGGCCTCCCTGGGAGGAAGTAGTGGTGAGGCCGGGAATGAGTGGTCCAGCCTGCGGTGCATGGGCCGGACCTTCCAAAGGAGGGTGTCCCTGACCCGCGCCGTCTGTGCCTGGCAGGGAGCGCCAGGCGGCCTGCAAGCAGGTGCGTCGGGCCGAGAAGAAGCTGAAGGACGTGCTGCTGCAGGTGGATGATGAGCGCAGGAACGCCGAGCAGTTCAAGGACCAGGTGTGTTGTGGGCAGAGCGGGGGGCTGGCCAGGGGCCGTACAGGCCACCCTCGCCGGGGCGCCTAACCATGGCCACTGCCCTCACATCCCCACAGGCCGACAAGGCGTCCACCCGCCTGAAGCAGCTCAAGCGGCAGCTGGAGGAGGCCGAGGAGGAGGCCCAGCGGGCCAACGCCTCCCGCAGGAAACTGCAGCGCGAGCTGGAGGACGCCACCGAGACCGCAGACGCCATGAACCGGGAGGTCAGCTCCCTCAAGAACAAGCTCAGGTGAGCCCTCAGCCGCCCCCTCCCAGTATTTCTGCTTTCGAAGTGCGTCTGTCCTCGACGGCAGGGAGCATTGCCCTGGAGGCTGAGAAAGTGGCCTCAGGGCCGCTGCCCCGGTTCTTCTCGCCCTCTGGGCTCAGGCCCAGCCTTGTGGGTGGACTTAAATTCTAGGTCACTTACTCCATCCCATCTGCAAAGTCTGCTCCTGTGGCTGCCTAGGGTCCCCTGCTGGGCCTTTGAACTAGAAGGGGCGAGGCAGCTGCCCGTCCGGCCCACGCTCGGTGCTGCAAGCGCTTGCTGAACGCAGCTGCTGCCCTCTCACCGCACCTGCGGGACAGAGGGCCTCTCCTCGTCGCTGCCTGCTGTTCATAGCTTTTCCACGCCTGCAGTTCGCAAGAGCAGGCCTCTGTCAGCTTGAATACTGCTTCTTCCACGTGGTGGGAGGCAGGTGCCCGGCTTCCCGCTCTGTGTCCCTGCATCTCTCCGTCTCCGTTTGTCCTCCATTTGAGGACAGGGAGACATGCTGCCGAAGGCCACGCCATCTGTTCTAGTGCCTTTCCCCTTGTCATCCGCCCTGATGTCCTGGTGGGTTTGCTTCCACCTGCTCCCCAAGAGCCCGCCTGGCCTGTATTGCTTCTCCCGTGGGATGTTAGGCGCCCATTTGCCTCTAGGGGTCGCCGTGGTGTGTGAGCTGAGTTGGGCCACCCTGGCTGGCCCTCTGACCCTCTGCCTCTGCCTGCAGGCGTGGGGACCTGCCATTTGTCGTGCCCCGCCGAATGGCTCGGAAAGGCCCTGGCGAGTGCTCAGACGACGAGGTGGACGGCAAAGCCGACGGGGCAGAGGCCAAAGCTGCCGAATAACCTCTCTGCCTCAGAAGGACAGACAGACAGCCCGAACGACCAACAGATGACTCCGCCTCCCCTTTCTAGCCCCCGCAGCACCCCCTCACCTCCTCGGGACTGCTGTGACCGTGACCCCAGCCCCTGTCACCAGGCCAGGGGACCTCAGGCCTGTGCCTCCCCCCGCCCCTCAGGCCTGTGAGGGCCTCTGGCTTCTCTGCTGCAGCCCTCCCCTCGCCTGCCCTCGCCTCCCCACCCTCCCTCCCACCCCGAGAACCTGATACCAAAGAGTCAGGGCCCTGGGCCCCTGGCTGGGGACAGAGTGGCCGGCAGGGTCTTCGGCCTCCTCTTGCCAAAAAGCGCAAGGTGGTGAGGCCGGAAGGGCAGCCGCCGGGGACGGGCAAGAGCGTTTTCTACGAATCTATTTTTCTTCAGACTAAGAAGTTTTGATAGCCCAGCACCCCAGAAGAATCGTCACCTTACCCCCTCTGCCACCAGCTCCCTACCCCCTTCTTTGCTGTTGGCAATCACACGCGGTGACCTCACACCCTCTGCCCCGCCAGCCCCCTCCCGTGGGCTCTGGGTGGTGCAGCCAGAGCAGGCACAGGGCGCCACCTCTGTGCAGGGCACAGAGTGCTGGGGGGAGAGGGGCGTTCCTCCCCACCCCCACTGGGTAGCGCACTGTTCCCTTCCTGATTCTAGAACGTCTCAAGTGCAATGATGACCCCTTCCACTCCTCTGTGGAGGGCAGCCTGCCCTGCCACAGCCAGGCTGGGACGGCTCAGGGGCAAGCCGGAAGGGCCAGCAGTGGCTTCTCCCAACACTCTTGGGGACCAAATATATTTAATGGTTAAGGGACTTGTCCCAGATCTGACAGCCAGGGCATCCGATGGGGCCAGTGACCCTCCCACACGACCTTGACCTACGCCAGGACCGGGCCCGAGGGTCGTTTATCGGCACCGTTGACTCAGTAGCGTTGAAAAAGCCACCATCTGCACAGATGTTTTCGGAAGGAGAAAAAGAAAAGGTTTTCTTCCCCCTTGTAACAAATGGTAAACCCCCGTCTTCGTCACTGCCTTCCTTTGGAGCCTGTTTAGGAGAGGAGCGTGTCCTACACTGGTCTGCACTGGTTGCTGATTTCCCTCTATTCCTAACTGTTATGTATATGCTGCATTTAGACTTCCTTATGGCAAAGAAGGTTTTTTTGTTGTTTTTTTTAAAGAAACAAACTCCACAAATCATGAAGCTGTGTAAAAGCTACATACGCCTCCAAAGCTCTGAATTCAGGTCCCAGTTGCTGTCACAAAGGAGTGAATGGAATCGCACCCATCCTTTTTCTAGAGTAAAAGTGCCTTAGCATGTGCTGCAGCTGTCACCACTACAGGAAGCTGGTTTCCAGAGGTTTCCACTGAGCGTCACAATAAAGAGTCCATGTGCTATGAGCCTGTGTCCGTGTGTCTGTGTGCACGAGGGCTGGAGGCGCTGTGCTGTGCTTGTGCAGCGGGCACCTGCATGGTGCATCCTGGAAGCTGCTAGCAGGGCAGTGTGCTGGGCACGGGCCAGGGTGGGGCGGCAGTCATGTAGGAGAGAGAGAGAGAGAGAGAGAGAGAGAGAGAGAGAGAGAGAGAGAGAGAGAGAGAGAGGCAGGCTGGGCCCAGGCCAAGGAAGCTAGGAGTGTCTCCTTTAAGCTTTAGTTCATTAGTTATTGAGCACCTGCTGTGTGCTTGACACTGAGCTGGCTCAAGGAAGTCAGGCACTAAGTTCCAGCGGCTTTCTTAGTCATCAGTGCAGAATGGGGACTCGGTGGGTGGACCTGAGGGTGATGGAGCAGGAGGCTCTCATAGGACTGTCAAAGCTTGGTTCGTTCATTCTTTTAACAAAGGCAGAGCATAAATAAACCAGGCCCGTGCTCACCAGGCCACTGGGCAGCAGGGTTGCTAAGGACAGCCAGGCATCTCTGGGCAGGACATTCTTTTTTTAAATGTGTGATATACACTGAGTGCCAAATTATGATCTCTGAACGCATAATAATCTGGCCACTGTGTGTATGTGTGTGTGTATGTGTGTGTGTGTGTGTGTGTGTGTGTGTGTGTGTGTGGCTTGGTGCATAGGTGGGGTCCAGCCAGCCTGGCCAGGGGGAGGGACATGGGTAGTTGGTCGGCCTGCCTGCTGGTTGAACTCCTGGTCAAGGCGACAATTTCCATATTAGCCTTTTATTATATAGGATATATTCTGAGTGGCCAGATTATTATGCGTTCATTCAGAGATAATCATAATCTGGCAATTCAGTGTATACATACATACACATGAGAGGAAGTGAGAGGTAGATACAAACACCAGTGATGAGAGAGCATCAATTGGCTGCCTCCTACATGCCCCCCAAAGGGGCTTATGCCCTGACAGGGATTTGAACCTTGACCTGTTGGTTCATAGTTCCATGCTCAACCACTGAGCCAAGCTGGCCGGCCTGGACAGAATCTTTTGACCAGTCCAGCCTCTGAGCAGACGCACTTCCTCCCTGGAGAGGAAGCAGCAGGAGGTGCCATGGGAGGGAGGTGGGGCCAGGCCCCATAGGATTGGGGGGCTGGCCTTTTCAGTAACTTGGTTTCCGGGCTGCCTAATTCGTTCACATTGGTTTTCACATCGGACATTCCTGGATTGGTGTCCGGTTCACCACCTCCTTGCAACCTTGACCAATGGATGTGGAAGGTTTTCTTTCTTTCTTTTTTTTTTTTTTAACTTTAATTTATTGTTAGAGACAGAGGCAGGGTCGGAGAGTGACAGGAACATGGATGTGTGCCACGTATTTATGCATTCACTGGCTGACTTGTATGTGCCCTGACCAGGGATCGAACCCCAACCTTGGCGTGTCAGGATGACACTAACCAACAACTGCCCGGTCAGGGCTGAGGTATGGATGTTTTCTGACAAACCTGGAGCTCAGGGAGCATTTAGGGCAGAAAAGGACACTTTGAGAATCCTTGAGGGTTTGAAGGACTTCCGTTGCTGCAGGGAAATGGCATGTGATCCCAAAACCAGAACCAAACAGAAACCAGACCGGCCAGCTTCCTCCCCTGTGAGGCCAGCCTGCCACCCCGTGGGAGCCTCGGTCTTGTGTTTGGGAAGGTGTGAGACATGTTTTCCTCGCAGGCTGTGCCATGGTTAGGATCGTGTGGGTGACAAGGCTTCCCAGAGTGCAAAGGGCTAATGCTGCCACTTCTTTCCCATGAGGGTGGGGCTTCCTCACACCTTAAGCGCCCTGCCCGTCACCAGATGGATTCCATGTTGAGAAATGGTGACAGCATGCACACCAAAATGTCCCCTCCGAACCTCCTTTAAGGGCACAGTTCGGCGGCATTGTGTCCGTTCACAATGTTGTGCCACCGTCACCACCATCCACCCACAGAACTGTTCTGTTTTGGAAAACTGGAAATCCATCCCCATGAAACAGTCACTCCCTGCCCCTGCCCTCCCTGCCCCTGACAGCTTCCTGTGTGTGAATTTGCCTAGCCCTGTACCTCATGGGTGGAGTTAAAGGGCACTTGTTTGTGATGGCTTATTACTGGAAGCACATTGTCCTCAGGTACCTCCCTATGGTAGCCTGTCAGAATGGCCTTTTTGGGGTGCTCCTGGCAGAAGGACATACAAAAGCAAATGTCTGGAACCTGCCTGGGCGATGCCTGCAATAGGAGCAGGGACCAAGGCAATGCAAGGAGGCAGTGAGCCTCTGCTGTGCTCAGGGCAGTGCTCATCCCTGGGACAGGGTGACGAAGGGGGCTTTGGAGGTGTGTGGGGAGGATGAGAGAGGAGGGTTCTGGGACAAGCTCATGGTGGGGAGGTAGAAATTTTCCCAGGATCCCTCTGTGTGTCTGGGGCAGGTCTTCCTTCTGGAAACCTGAGGGAGGCAGGATGGGCTGAGCAGTGAAGGACCTGGGAGGTCAGACAGGGACTTGCTCTGGCCGTGAGCAGGCAGGGAGGGGCTCGCCTGTTGCAATGTGGATTGGGTAATGTGCTTGAGCCTGAGCTCAGAACTTTGGTATTTACTTTCAGTTTTCCTTTCCAAGTATATTAGACCCGCAAGGTGTTTGTGCAGATGAGCTGCCAAGTGGATGTGCACAGGTAAGAACAAGTGGGTCTTGTTTTTAATCTTGCAGAGGAAGAAGCTCGGTATGTTGGGAGGGTAGGAGCGCCCCCCCACTTTCTCATCCTCACACTTTCTAAGACAAGGATATTGCCACTATTGTGTAGGTGAGGGAATTAATGCGTGGGACGGGGCGGGGAGGGGGTGGTAATGGGCCCAAAGGCACATGTAAGCAGTGACAGAGCCCGGATTGGAACCCAGTTTTGTGTGAGGTTCCTCCCTACCCAGTACCCCTAAACCATGGAGAGGAAGGGGGACACTGCTCAGGTGGGTTCACATCCTCCCTGCAGCTCAGCTCTGACCTGGACTCCCTGAGACAGGAGCCAGTGACCACACAGCAAAGGGGGGTGTGGAGGATCTGGAGGAAGTAGAAGAGATGGAAATAGGGGTTTGGGGGGAAGCAGAAAAGTTGGGGGACGGTAGGGGAGTAAGAGCCTCAGTTCCTTGTGGCCTGGGTGCCCTGAGGCTGCCTTCAGGGGCTGCTGCTGAGGCTGATAGGGTAAAGGATTGCCTTTGAGAATTCAAATCCTGACATTGTTTCACCCACCCTTTTCAGCTTAGTGCCGGGCCTCGTGGGAAACTGAGGCCCTGAGTGGGGAATGACTTGCCCCGATGCACGTTGAGACACTGAGCAGGAGGGCGGGTAGGCTGTGCCTCCCTGCTCTTGGACGGCCTTGCTCATAACAGTGGGGGATGGGAGACTTAGGAGGTGATCTGTGTGTCTGAGCTGGACGAGTCTGAGCCCAGCTTCCTGTGTGTGTACAGCAGAGACACACCTGGGAGCTGCTGTGGCATTGAAACCACATCTCCCTGCTTAGCCACCAGCACCAGGAGGTGCGGGCCTCTCCTCTGCCCTCAGGAGCTGCCTGATACTGGGCAAGCCCCTTCCCTGAGAAGGATTTGTTCCTGTGTCTCTCCACGTTTATGAATTTGGGTTCAGTCTCTCCTCCTGTGTACTGTGCACAGCGAGTCACCTATGGTCCACATACCTGATGTACACAGTGGCCTGGCCTCTCATGGCTGCCTTGGCTGAACGTTGGCTTTGCAGTCTCTATTGTTAAGAAGTGAAGTCAATCGCTTTATGGCTTTTGGGATTTATCTCTTTATTAGCTATGTTTCTGCAACTCAACCTGAGTTTTCACATTCCCCCCCCCCCCCACGTTTATAGTTCTCCTTTTGGTTTTACATTTAGATTCCTTTTTGATTGATTGATTTTGGAAGAAGCTTTTGTGTTTCTTTGTTTTGTTAATCCTCAATTGAGAATATTTTTTTCCATTGATTTTTACAGAGAGTGGAAGGAAGGCAAGGAGGGAGGGAGGGAAGAAGGAAGGAAGGAAGGAAGGAAAAAAGGAAAGAAGGAAGGAAGAGGGAAAGTGAGACAAACATTGATGTGTGAGAGATGCATCAATTTTTTACCTCCCACAGATGCCCTGTGCCCTGACCTGGTTCAGGGATGTACCCTGCAACCCAGGTCCATGTCCTTGACCAAGAATCAAACTCTCCACCCTTCAATGCACAGGCTGAGGCCACACTTCTGAGTCTACCCGCAGTCTGTGGAAGCCTTTTATTTCTTCCTCTACTTCCTCTGCATCCGGGTCTTCTTCCTAATGCAGGGCATGTTCAATGGGTATCTACAGCCTTCAAGGAGCCTCTGGTACAGGAAGCAAAGTGCCTGGCAGCAGGTAGTGAGCAGGAGTGGGAGGGGCTGGGGTCAGGTGTCAGAATTCGTTGTTCATGTTACTCTCTTCCTCTTTCTCCTCATATAAAAATGTGATGGCTGCAGAAAGGAGACAGGAGGAGATAGATGGAATTCTGAGAAAGCCGATACAACTGTCAAAAGTACATGAAATCAGTGGGGGACATTTGTGTGAAATCTGAGTCACAGTTTTTGCATCAAGATCGGCAAGAAAACCAAATGGAGTGACTCAGTGGAGAGTGAAAGTGGGGATTGCTGTGTTGTTGAGTGGCTGGCTGTTCATTGTCCCCCCCAAGGGACACCCCAGGTTGAGCCATCAGTGCCAGGAGTCCAGGGGGTGCCCAGGGTCAGGAGGTTCAGCAAACAATAAACATGGCCCTGTGTTGCACATACAAATGGTAAACAGTTCAAAGGTTATTGGAAGAATGTGAGTCATTATTTGTAAACCTTAGAGCATTCTGGGGCTGAGGAAAGACCATGCAGGTGAACCACCTTGGTATCAGCGATTAACATACCATCAAGTCCCTTGGCTCTCTGTGTCAGGCAGTTCTCAGGAGGGGTGGATGATAAATGCTGTTTTGCTTCTGAAAATAATGCTACAGACAATCAATATTTCCTTTCCTCCCTGGGCTTCTGAGCAAGATAGTCCATACAGAACTGGGGAATCCTCTTCATGGAGAGGTCTGTTCCCATCATGATAGTTCACAGAACAGAAATGACCCAGAGTGTTTCTATTATTATTGATTTGAGATCGAGAGACAGAGACAGAGAAACAGCGATTGCTCCAGCCAGGGCCAGAGTGTGTTTTCACAGTGAAGGCCATAAGACCTGACTGCCTCCCCTTTCCCTGTCTGCATCATTTTGGGAACTTTTGGCCTCAACACAGAGCCCCTGATTACAGTGTGGCCCCATCCCCATGGTCACCAAGACAAGGTGGGCACTGACACCTCCCAGGAAGGAGCCCTCCTAGCGCTATGGGACCACGCTCTCCAACAAAAGGTTGGTCATCCACGCATCCTTCAAACTGACTTGTGATCAAAAGGGGGACCATGGATGAGAAATGGGTTCTATGCCAAGTAACCCACAGGGTGATGTAATCTTAAAATCCTAGCTGTGCAGGTCATGGCGGGTGGTCACATCCCAGGCTTATACTCTTTAGCAAAAGGTTTGTTTTCCTTAGGCAAGCCCTGTCCATTGTATCTGTGCATCTAGGTGAACACACCTTAGAAATAACCACTCTCCAGACAGCACAATCTTGCCTGACAGGTGTTGGCTCCATAGTTGAGTGTTGCCCTGGAATGAAAAGGTCACCAGTTCGATTCCTATTCAGGGCACATTTTCAGATTGTTGGCTCAAAACCCAGCAGAGTGCATGTAGGGCAGCCACTGGATGCTTCTCTCTCATCAACATTTCTATCTCTTCCATTCTCTTCCTCTCTGTAAGTCAATGAAAACATTTTTTAAAAGAAGAGACCACACTCTTGTTGACTGTCCTGTAATCCAATCCCCACCTGCTTTGTCCCAACTTCATGTAACCTTCCTTACATCCCTTTCATTTCAAATGCATAGAAGAAGCTGAGAAACTGTTATTCTCCAGAGCATTTTAGATCTTAATGCAGTTTGGCTCAAATAAGTTTTCCAAAAAATCCTTTTTTAAAAATTACAGCTTTAAAAAGGCAGGGCATTCTGGCCCATGTTCCAACATGCATGATCCTTGAGGACACTGTGGTAAGTGAAGTAAAGCAGTCTCAGAAAGAGAAACATTGTGTGATTCCACTTATATGAAGCACTCAAATCCATAGAGATGGGAGGTAGAATGGCAGTTTCTAGGGGCTAGTTATTGTTTAGTGGATACTGAGTTCTGTTTTATAAGATGAAGAGAGTTCTGGAGACTGGTTACACAACAGTACAAATATAATTTAGCACTATTGAACTGTGCCCTTAAAAATGGTTAAGGTGGTAAATGATATGTTGCTTATTTTTAGCCTAATAAAGGAATTTTAAAAACAATGATGTGTATGTGGGTTTTTAAAAAGTACAATGAACTGGAGGATGGAAAAGATAGGCACCTCATGTCCTATGAGCATAAATGTAAATTGTTGAAATTTATTTGCATTTGAGTGTGGCTCTGGGCATAAAGGAATTTTTATAGGGTGATACCCTTTGTCCAGTCATTCTATTTATTAATCTTAAAGGAAATGATCTTAAATGCAGATGAGCTTCTATGCCCGAGGATTGTCTCTGCGCTATTTTCATAAAGAACTGGAAACAAGCCAACATCCAGCGGTGGGCATGGGCAGCAGGAAGGACCCGGCAGCACCAGGAGGGCTAGGCAGCCCACAGTAGGGCTGCAGGGCTGGGGCCAGGACTGCAGGACCCAGGGCCTTAGGCCATGAGGGTCTTGCAGAAGCAAGAAGAGTGCAGGCTTGGGAGGTCACAGCCTCAGGAATTTATCAACGCAGAGACTGGGTACAGAGCGCAAGACATCCTTTGGCAATGAGAAGCGTCATTTGCAAGCAGCACAGACACATAAATAAACATTTTTGTATGTAAAAGGGAGTAGAGCATACTCCTCACAATCTGGGATCGGAAAGACTTGGGTTGGAGTCCTAGCTCTCGCACTACTGTGGCACTTGGGCTAACCCAAGTTTAGGTGAAAACCTACACTTTGTGGTGGTTTCCTCCACGTTCCAATGGGAGCCACAATGGTGGCCACCACGTGGAATGTGCGCGAGTACTTGCTGAGGGAACAGGTAAGGAGCCTGTGGTGGACACACCATCAATATCAGCGGTAGTGATTAGTAAGCCAGATGCCCCCAACCTCAAGTCATTTCCAAAGCATTCCTCCCCATCTCTCCTTGCCATCTTTCGTGTCTGGTTTTATTCTCCCCACCTGTCTATTTCCTTGTCTGATGCTCTTCTCCTTGTGCCCCCACAGGACAAGGGAGCTGTCCCTTGGCTTGCAGTGGCTGGAGTGAGGTGAGTACCTTCTCCAAACTAGCAGCTGGCAGAGCCTGGCAGACAGGGAAACACAGTGGATTGAGTCCATCTTGGCAACTGAGGCCCTCCCTGAAAGAAACACCAGAAACGGAGCCCCTCGCTGCTCCCTGTTGCACAGCTGGCTCACCTTGCACCCCACAATTTGTTTTCTCTTCCCCAAGGGTGAAGCAACACCTCCTTCCAGCTGAACACAGACTGGTGAGCCGAAGGGGAAACTCTGAGATCCCACTGCTGACACCATGGCCTCAGAAACTGACCGGAACTGCCCAGGTAGTCAGCTTCCTCCTCTCTAGCTGGTTCCTGCTTATGATCTAGAATTGAGGGAGGCATCTTGAAACTGGGTTAAGCTACACAGGAATCAAAAACTTCAAAGGGGCTTGATGAGTGTCCTCAAATCCCCAAGAGGGTCCAAGGGAACGCCCCTCAACCAGAAGTGTACGTGGGGATCTCCTTCTAGCTCTCTCCTCAAGATGCTCCCTGCTTCTCATTTGCAACTCATGCAATGACTCCAACGAGGCCAGGACAGCCCATGGGAGGTGGGAATCTCTTTGTCCCCTGTAACTGGAACCTGCTAGTTCCTGGTGGAAACTTTCCCTTCCAACGCACTGCAACCTCCACAGCTGTGCTGGGTCCCTGACCTGTGCTCCCAATTATAAGCACCTGTGTGCTAGGTGTGACTATCAGGAACTTCTGATGATCTCAGATACCCCTGCGGAAACCCGCTTTGTTATTTTCCAAACCCACCCACAACCTAGCCAACAAATACACAGATGCAGTGCTCTGGGTTCCCTCCATCTAAGCCCAGGTTTACTTTCTCCCTCAGTGGGTGAAGCAAGAAAAGGAAAAAACACCCCTCCACCCTCCCAAATCAACACTGCTTTTTCTAGACAACCACATCACCCCCCAGGAGGGAATAAAACTTGTTCCTGTTGCAGCATAAGGGGGAAGCAGACAGTTCAGAATCCTGCAGCTCCTGAGCAGGCCCGTGGTTCCCAAGGGAAGACTGGAGCTTGTGGTTTCCTGAGGATAAATAAATGACCTCCTGTTTAAGAAGTGGGTGAGGGTGGAGTCAGAGTTGCCCAGGGAGCTGTGGCCCCTGAGACCAGCCTGGAGGAGGAGAGGTGGTACTGATTGATCAGAGCATTAGAGCTGAGGGCCCAAGCCCCACCCACCTGAAGCACCTCCTCTACTCCCCACCCTGGAGCATCTGTGAGTAGCAGGAAGCATCCTATTTGCCTGGTATGTTTACTCCATCAATGGCGTGTGATCTGAAATACTATTTTCGAATTTTGAAAAAATCCCAAAGGGGCATTGTAGGGTAGAATGCACGAATCATATGAATTTTTGAAACCTAAGGAGGCTTCAACCAAATGTCAGGAAATGTCTAATGGGTGACCTTGGATTCCACCTTTGAGGTATCTGCTTCTTGGCTTGGGCCTTCTTTTGCTGTCTGAGTTTCACTTTCTTTGTCTGTGAAATAAGAATAATATGTCTTGTGTGTATATGATAGGAAACACATTTACATCCTGTCTCTGCACACACAAAACATACACCAGTCCCCAGTTTCTTATCTGCATTTCCAGAGTCTCCAAATCCCTGAGAGTTACACATTTTTTAAAAGATTTATAAAAGTTATTGATTTAGAGAGACACATACAGAGAGAGAGAGATAGAGAGAGAGAAATATAAGTGGCGGATAGAGAGAATTGGTGTCTCACCCTCTTCACATAAGGATACCATTCATATTGCATTAGGTATCACACTTATGGCCTCATTTAACATTAATTATAATATACAGTTACATGGGGCCTGGCCATTGTGACTCAGTGGTTGAGTGTTGACTCATGAACCAAGAAGTCACTGGTTGGATTCCCAGTTGGTGCACATGCCTGGATTGGAGCCCAACCTCCAGGAGTACACAGCCAGAAGCAACTGATTGATATTTCTTTTTCTTTTTTTTTTTTTTCAATGTTTCTATCTCTCTACTTCTCCCTTCTTCTCTCTCTAAAAACCAATAAAAATATATTTAAAAAATAAATGAGTAAGTACAGTCACATGGGGTGTCAGGCCAGCAATATATAAATTGGGGGGTGGACACTTCATTCCATAATACCAGGTAACTCAACAAACATTCCCCAGATTAAAAAAAAAAAAAGTTCTTCAGGTGACAGCTGCTCAGTTAGATTAACACTTAACCACTTTGTTTACTAGAGACTCACTGCACAAAATTTGTGCAGTTGAGGGATGGGTCCCTCACCCCAGCCTGCCTCCTCTCACAGACTGGGAGCCCTTGGGGGATGTCCTACTGACAGCTTAGGCCCGCTTCCTATGAGAAGAGGGCCTAAGCCACAGTCTTGACTCCCTCTGCAGGAGGCGACAAGGCTGATCAGGGGAAGGTGCCAGCACCTTCCCTCCACTGCTGCAGCCACTGCCAGCCACCACATCTGCCATGGTGTTTTCTTCAATGTGGACTCCAGTTCCTTCACCACAAAAAAATTACAACTTTCTTTAGGCATTTTCAAGATGTCTCTTTCATAGGATCTGACTTTCTTTCTTTCTTTCTTTCTTTCTTTCTTTCTTTCTTTCTTTCTTTCTTTCTTTCTTTCTTTCTTTCCTCCTTCCTTCCTTCCTTCCTTCCTTCCTTCCTTCCTTCCTTCCTTCCTTCCTTCCTTCCTTATCCTACCTGAGGATATGTTTCCATTAATTTTTAGAGAGCTTGGAAAAGAGAGGGAAAGACAGAGATAAAAACATCAATGTGAGAGGGACACTTCAATTCTTTGCCTCCTGCATGAGCCCTGACCTGGGCCCTGGCCAGGGAGGCGCCTGCAAACTAGGTACATGCCCTTGATCAGAATCAAACCTAGATCCTGTGGTCAGCAGGCCAAAGCCCTGTCCAGTGAGCCAAACAGGCTAGGGCAGAATATGACATTTTTTAGCCCCACCAGCAGAGGACCTTAGTTTTTGTCTTCTTGGAATATTGTGAAAAACCTAGATCACTTGTTTGGATTTTTATTGTTCAATTTACCAAGAATAGTGCAAGTGGCAGCATACAGAGAGCTTAGCTAATGAGCTGTCAGAAAAGGAGTTTCCTCTGCAGCTCACATGCAGAGAGTCACTGGGTTGTGTCTGCTGGGGTGGAGGTGTGCACTGAGCCCCGAGGCAGCTGCCAGGAACATGCCCTAACCCTGCATGTGTCCACTGGGGTGGAGGCGTGCTGACTGCCCAGACCCCCTCCCTCCCTCTGTGGCATGTGCCTGGGATGCTATGGGTGCTGCAATATTTGTGATGGAGTGATGGTCAATTTGCATATTACCATTTTATTAGATTAGATACTCAATTCCATTTCTATTCTACCCATTACCTTCTAACCTCATTGTTTTCACTTTCCATCTAGAGCACAAAGACTTTATTGATGCCATTGAGTATTTAAAGGACCCATGGAACAAAGAGAACCTGCAACGCCTGCTGAGTGATGAATCCTGGGAGAGATTTGTGGCTGCAGCCAGTTTGTCCAGGTAACCTCCAGGGGATGCCTGTATTATTACCCCCAACTCCCCTGCATCCAGATTCCTCTGGCAGGCACCCTCCTTCAGGCAGGATCCTGTGCTTGGGATTAAACAAGTTCCTTCTCAACAGACCAAGAGCAACATTTCCTTCCTATCATTTATTGGCAGAGAAGGGCTCAGGCTGAGAAGGGATGAGGCCTGCAGAGGGAAGGTTATGAGGCCTTGGCCATGTTACTCAACCACTCTCTGTCATTCATCTGTTCTATTTCATTGTGAGGAGAATGAGAACATGCGGGTAAACTCTTTAGTCTAATGACTGCCACATGGTAGGTGGGCAGTTCTCATGAACATCAGAAAAGATTCTGGGAATAGACAGCGCACACACGTCTTCGTGTTGGACATGAGGGCCTCTCAGGACGTCTTGTGGTACAAGCCAGAAAATGCTGGCACAGTTTGTGTCCCTGGGGATTGTGGCTAGAGAGCCTGCTCTCCCTAAGAAAGGGATTGCACAAGCTCTGCAGGGTCCTGCTGGCCTGGAAGGGGGAGAGCTGCAGTGAGTTTGCACCATTTTGGTTGAATCTTGTCTGTATCACTGCCCAGCTCAGAAGCTGTGGGCTTATGTCATCTCCCTCATCAATGGAATAGCAAGTTTGTCTGATAGGACCGGGGTGATGAACTGAGGAAGCAAGCACAGTCATCCTGTATGGAGGCCAGAGAGGCCTGGAGCAGGATCAGAGTCCAAGGTCTGGATGGAGCAAGGATGGTCCAGGTGGGAGGACTGGTAGGAAGACTTGGCAGGAGTGAGGCAGCTGAGGCACCTGGACACAGGACTGAGGAGGCCAGGGGCCTAGTGGAGGGCTGTGCAGGGACGGGGGGCACATTTCTTCCTTCCCTGATTTGATCCCCTCTCTGCTGGGGGCAGAGGGCCCTGGTGATCATGTGCTCCAACCCTGTCTATGAGCTGGAGGGCTCTTCACCTCCCTGTGGGACCCTCTTCTCTTCTCCATGGAGTAACGCTGACCAGAGGGAAGGCAGTGTGGCTTAGTGAGCACTTCCAGTCATAATGGGGGCTGCCAAAGTGGTGTGATCTGAGGGATTCTGAGTAGATGCACATGTCCCCACCATAGAGAACAGGGCTTCCTGCACCAGGTCGTGCAATCAGGAATCCCAGCTTTAGCAATTCATATACCTGCTGTGGTTAATCCCCTGTCCTTCTTTATTACAGAGATGAGGCAGATGCACTCTATGCAGACTTGAGCCAGCTGTAAACATTCATTGCCATGGAAGACAAGGTGAAAAAGGAAAGGTTTATGAAGGAATTTCCTCAGGTCAAACAGGACCTTGAGGAACGCATAAGAAAGCTCTACGCACTTGCTGATGAGGTTGACAAGCTGCACAGGGGCTGCACCATCACCCAGGTGGTGGCCTCTTCCACCGGCGCTCTGGCTGGCGTTCTGTCCATCGCTGGCCTGTGTCTGGCACCTTTCACAGCAGGGGCTAGTCTGTCGCTTCCAATGGCTGTGGTGGGACTGGGGGCAGCAGCTGCTGTGACCGGTGTGGCTACGAAAATTATTGAAGACTCAAATGATGGGTCAGCAAAAGCAAAAGCCAGCAGCCTCATGTCAACTGGCACCGAAACAGAGAAGGAGGTTGAGGAGATTCTACGTCACAGCCCTCCCCAAATTGCTTCCATAGCATGGAGGTGCTTCAAATCCCTTCAACGCATTCTGAGGAAAGCTGATGTCCTCAATGCGGAGGAATCCAA